ATCCTTACCCCAACCCCAGCCAGCTCTTCTCCGGTCAGCCCCACTTGTTGGCTCAGGACTCAGCCCTGTGGGAGCTTTCCCAGAGCCTATCTCTTTGGGCTGCTAGCCAGCTAAAAAACACTGCTGCAGCCTCCCCACCACGTACCGGCCTGCCTCTCTGCTCGGCTGCCTCCAGTAACAGGGAGCTCCTTCTCTCCTTCAGGCTGCTTGGGGGCTCGCGCACTGAGAAGCTCCTCTCAGCCCTCCCCTGTCTGCTGCATCAGCCTCCGCAGCTCCACAGCAGCCTGCTTGTGCCGTGGCCCTCAGGTCTTTATGGGAGGCAAACTCCCTCTCTTCAGGGTCCCCCCTGTGCTGCGCTGAATAGCAAAACCCCCACCCACCATGAGAATAAGTTTTGGGGGCCTCTACACCTGTCTGGGGGTGTTTTCCCCTTGGTCCATTACACCTGGGGCAGAGCCCTTTGCCCCTTTGTTCTCCCAGTAGTAATCTCCCCTGGGGGGGGCAGCTGCTCTGCCAGTAGCTATTAAGCAGCTCTGAACCCTCTTGATTTTTTCATCTCTCTCTCTCTCTCTCTCTCTCTCTCTCTCTCTCTCTCTCTCTCTCTCCCTCCCTCCCTCCCTCCCTCTTTCTCTCCCACTCCCCCTCTTTCTCCCCCTTTTTTATGGCCCCTTCTCCAGTTGCTAGGGAGAAGCCTCTTAATGCAAAGCCCCTGCTTTTTTTTTTTTTCCCTGATTGAACGGTGACTGCCTGGCCGTCTCTGTTTGCCCTGCAGAAGTGGGAGCTGCAGAAGCAGCTGCAGCAGGGCTGGGGGGCTCTCACTCTGCACAGCTAGGCTTGACTCTCTCTGTGGTTCTGAGACCACACAATTCCCTTTAGTTGTCAGAGTCTAGGGTCTTTGCCTGTGAAATGGAGATGCGAGGTTTTTTTCTCTCACCAGCTTGAAGCGAGGACTTAAGGAGATGAGAGTAGCTGAGCCTTCACCAGACACTTCATAAACGCTTGTGGAGTCGGCAGTGGGATCCGGGAGGAGGGTGACACGTAACAAGTGTCATAGGAGAGAAAACAGGCTGGCCTTTCAAGACCCCACGCTGCATACACGCTGCAATATCTCCTGGCAGAGGCCCCTCTGCTGGCTTAATCGCACAAATCAAGCCAGTCAGAGGCAGCCCTTAGCCTGGGGAACTCACGGGACATGCAGCAGGCAGCAGGAATGCCATGCAGAGCCCACATGTGCATTTACTAGCTTTGCATGGTAGATAACAGCATTTGGGGGGAAGCAGTAAGGCGGAGAGAGACATTTCCTTCCTGTCACTCCTATGAAGGGCCAACTAAGAAAGGGAGGTTTAGGGAGGACAAACAACAGCAAGCTCAGGGCATCCTCTAGACGGTGGGAAAGGGCTGACTCTCCACTCATTCACACTCCCAGACACTGCAACACACTTACCTCCTATGTCCCTAGCGCGAGGCTAGGGCTAAAGTGATGATGTCAGTTGGCCGGTCGGCCGATCGCTCGGTCTGTCAGTCAGTCGGTCGGTCGATCGGTCGGTCGGTCAGTCGGCTTCCTGTCTTCGAACTGCAATCATTCTGAAGGAGAAAACAAACAGGGAAGAGTTTACCACACAGGAATGCACTCAAGGGCAGGTGGTAGCAGTGGGGATCTACGGAGCCCCTGGAAGAAGCCTTGAACTGGGATGTCTGTCTAGCACTCACATGGGGAACCTCACAAATAGGAGTCCATGATCTGTATTGGATTGACGAAGAAGCTAAGGCACAGAAAGGCCAAGTCCCATACTCACCGTCTCTCAGCTGATGGAAGGTTGGGCCACGGTGAAACCCAAGGCTCTCCCAGGCTCCCCACCACACCCTGCTGCTGAAGACTGCCTAGCGAGGTTGTGCTGAGTGTTGGGGGGGGGGGTGATGTGGATGGGCAGAGGAGGGATTGATTAGTTTTAAGCACCTCCCAGTGTACTTGAGATCTCGGCTCTTTTGTGGCCCAATCAGTTTGAATGGCAGGTTCAAAATTAGGTGTAAGGACCTATAAGAAGAGGCTTGTGAAAATGATATTATTAACCTGATGAGGAGAGGGCACCTACTTATCTTTAATCAAATTGCAGACATAGTGGGGGCTAGGATTTGTTTGGGTGGATGGCGAGCTAGAGATATCCAAATGTTCCCGGGTTCTGGTGAGCTTCCTGGTGCAAAGTGTCATCTCTAAGTGTCTGGGGCTGAGAGCTGGGAACAGAGACCTCCTAATGCAGCCTCCTCATCTCAGGGAAGTACCCTAGACTGACCACTTATGGTGGGGGGGACCCCAAGCCCCTTCCTCATATAAACTGGGACCGTGAACCTTTTCTCATCTCAATTTGCCATCTGTGTGAGAGAAATAGAAAGCAAACATCATTCTAAGAGACAATTCCACTCCTATGTGGTAAGAGAGAGGCACCAAGCATCATTTTAAGAGATGATCCTACTCCCATAACCTTTTCTGGTGATGGCTGCTGTTGCCAGACACCTGTTTGCTTGTCAGAACTGTGTTGAACAGGAGAACTCAGGCTGCTACCCTCCCTACAGAGGGTGATGCAGATGGGGAGAGGAGAGGGGAGGGGAGAGGTGACTCCTCCAAAGGAGCAGAGAGCAAAGTTCTGCTTTGGATAGGAGTTAAGCCACTTAAGATTTGTGTCAACTCAGGGTGTAGTGGAAATGGTCCCAAATCTTCAGACACCAGCCAAGAGTCTGTGGCGCCCCCAAGTGCCACAAGGGGGCTGCCTGGGCTACAAGTTTTTGCATTCTTAAATGAGGAGGGGGAGGCAAGAAGAGGGGAACCTGTGCTTTGGATTTCTGCAGCGGCGCTTTAATTGCAGCAGATGCAGAGGAAGCAGGCGGGCAGGGGGGCGACAGTGTCCCAGGGTGGCTTCAGGCGGCCCCTTTCCCTCACAGGATCTGCGCTGCAATGCAGACGGGGTTGCGGCGGGCAAGCTGCTGAGGGTCGGAGCTGTCCTGTGTCTGCTTCCCAGAGTGAGGAATGAAAGATGAGGGAGAAAGCTTGCAGGGAGTGCGCAGTGGCCAGGCGCCCAGGAGACACAAGGGACGAACGAAGATGGGGCTGTTGCATGATGTTCAGGAAAGTGGGGGCTCTGGGAACAGTGGGGTAGTGGACCAGGCAGTTTTAGGGTTTCAAGGTGAGTCAGTTTACTGTCCTATGAGTGAGAGCAAAGAGAGTGTGGAGGCAAGCAGCTGTGACAGCTTGGCAAGCAGTCGGAGGGAGAAAAGCATCAATTCTTATCTTTCCAAGGAGGCTTAATTAAAAATAAAAGAAAACAGAAAACTAGACAGTGTGGCTGAGCTGGTTACTCCCTGTGTGACAGGTGACAGTGCCGTTCTCTTAACTAAACTATCACAGCATCCCAGCAGGAGGGCACGCAGGCTGCTGTTTCTGCCTTCAGGAGAGATGCTGTGAATCTTTAGAGCTAGGGGTGCAAGCAGGCCAGCAGGGAGCTAGATGGTGTGCATCTAGATGGTGTGCATCTGGTGGGGGTCTGGAGGGTCTGGGGCTGCGCGCAGGCAAGCAGAGAGCTAGATGGTTTGCCTCTGGTGGGGGTCTGGAGGGTCTGGGGGTGTAAGCAGCCCAGTAGGGAGTTAGATGATGTGCATCTGGTGTGTGCCTATTCCTGAGTGCCCACCAGCACTGGCACTTACCCTTTTGTCCACCCAATTTGTAGTAAGTGTTTCTTCAGTCGATATCTGAAGACCCACAACATTCTACTAGACTGAACTTAGACCCAAAGCCCCCTCTGAGCTTTGGGTTTCCCTAAACACCACTTCTTACCGACTAGCATTGATTTTCACTTGTTGCTAAAAAAGAAAGCCAGCATTTATTATGGAGATTTTTCAGACAATGCAAGCAGAGAAAGCAATGTGTTCTTAAACACCGCCGTTTTAACTTTTTTAAATTTCATCATTTAGATGCAGTGCCCACCAAATCCATCTATCCCTCTGCTGCATCTGAGCTCTGGACCCTCCCTCGCTCCCCACCGCTCCAGTCCCCAGCCTCGGACTGTTTTGAGGCAAATTCTAGAGATTACATTGTCTCTTCTGTGCATCTTTGAATATTTATCTCTGAAATGGGGCTGCCCCCTTCATAAAAACATAAAGATGCTATCCATTACCCCGATTTTTATAAAAATACGCGTAATACTATTATCACAGTTAACCACTTAACGGCTTCTTTTCTTTTCTGCCATGTAACCTCTACGCAGTGTCCAAATATTCCAGAAGGACTCATAAATTTATTTTATGATTGGCTTATTCAGATCTCTGTCCAAAGTACTTGCTGCACTTTCAAGGGGCCTGTGGGGTTCTCAAAGGTAAGTACAGCTTGAAATTCAGCGCTTTAACCAAGTACAAATTTAGTGAGCCTCAGTTTTCTCCCTGAAATGGGCCCAATTCTGGGTACCTCCAAGGGCTGTCAGGCAAATTGGAGACAGGTACATACATATCCCCCAGCCCCATATCAAACAAAAATTAGACACGGCAGCCAGCAGCTGTTACTTGAATTATCCGTTTTTCACGGAAATCTCTGAAAGAGTTGGATTGCGTAGACAAGACAGAGCTGGCCATCATCCACAAAACAAAAGGCGCCTGGCAGGCCAGGGCCCCTGAGTGATTTAGACAGAGCGTGTACTACATCTCAACAAGGGCAGCCTGTAGCCCAGGGGGCTAGGGTCCCGGGACCCCCCACCGGGTGCTGGTCCACTAGGTGGCACTCTCTGCTATGTGTCCAGGACAGACCACTCCCCAAGGTACCCAGTCCACAACCAAAACATCCCAGGTAATTCTCAAACATCAGCTCCACATGCCATGCAAAACGCAGTGTTTTTTCCTCTCTGCATCCCTCCCAGCCCAGTAGCAGAAACAAGAAAATGCAAACATTTCATAACAAATTGCTGAGACCAAACACTAGACAGCCCACCTCCCTTTTAATTCTCCGTCCTAGCTACATCTGATTGCTCATTATTTTACAGATAAAAGGATGATGAGGGGGTCTAGGATTTGCCCAAGATCGGCTAGTAAGCAGGATCCGGGGCTCCGACCCAGGTTTGTATGATCCCTTTGCAAAAGAGTGAAGTGGAAGGATGGAGGGTCGTTCTGATGGATGAGTAGGTTCCAGCATGAATATACGTGAGTGCCTAGCAAGGCAGCTGTATGGATGATAAATGCCAGAGGGATGGGGGCATGGATAACACAGGCCAGCAAGCTTCCCTATAGATAGGAGACCCAGAGATAGAGGAGATAGAAGAAGGCAGTTTCTCACCAAGATCAAAGGCTTCCTGGCTCTTCCAGGAGAAGTTCCCTCTTTGCAGTCTGCTGGTGAAGCTCCTGCGTTCTGTGCAGCCTCCGAGTGGATTGATTGACTCAGGTGGTTCTGAGATAACAGGTGGCCGACCAGGTCACGAGGACCCAGTTCCAGCTATGGTGCTGGGGCTGCTCACTGGCAGCTCTCAGTCCCTGCTGCTTTCACGTGTGCTGGGGAACAGCAGGCTGCTGCCTCTCCACCGGCTCTCCTGGATGACTAAGCCAGAGCCCTGGCCTCACGCTCAGCCCTCCTCTTGAACTTGGTGTGCTTTTATCTATGCAAGATCATCACAGCCACCCTCCATGATGGCATTTTCCACTGTCAATCAAAAGGAGAAGAAACAGGGTTAGAGATGCGAAAAAGGCTGTCCTAAAAGTCATATAAGGGGGCAGATGCAGACCCAGCCTCCTTTTTTCTCTCAAACCCACACTTCTGACAGACTGCCTTTCCTCTATGGCCACGCCTGTAAAGAAATCTGTGTGTTCCTCAGCACTCCCTCATGTCAGCAGCACCTTTGGGGCTAAACTTCTTATCCAATCGAATCGTGGTTTATTTTCTAAGCAACATCTTCTCAAGTACATTCTATCTGTAATTATCACACAAGCAGGGGCCACACGTACTCTGGCATCCCGTGGGAAAAACGAGCAAGTGAGGTTTCCTGCATTTTCTATTCTGACTGAATGCTAATAGGGTAGGTGTAAAAATGGCTACCCAGCCCGAGGGGGTGCGAGGCAGGGAGCACAGGGACTGGGAATGGCCTCTTAGCAGAACAGGCTTTCGTCTTAGCAGCTAGGTTTTGCCAAGCTGCACATGGTCCAGGCTCAGCCAGGCTCTGCCAGCAAGCACTTCTGTGTGTGCCTTAACCCTAGTGCCGCAGCCCTAGGGCCTCAGTTTACCCAGTTGTAACACAGAATACCAAAAGCACCTATTATTGTTGTTGTTGTTATTATTATTGTTGTTGTTATTATTACTTCTTTTGAGACAGGGTTTTACCACGTAGCCATGACTGTCCTGGAAATTGTTAGGTAGACCATGTTGGCCCTCAAATTCACAGAGATCCACCTGCCTCTACTTCCTGAGTGCTGGGATCAAAGACGTGCACCACAATACCTGGCCGTATTAACAGGCATTTAAAACTACATGAGGGGCTGGAAGACAGCGCAGATGAGTGCTTAGTGCTTTTCCAGAGGAGCCAAGTTCAGTGCCCAGAACCCACATCAGGCTGCATACAATTAATTGCGCCAGCCTCAAATAGATTCACCACCCCCTTCTGGATTCTGCAGGCAACTACAAATTCATATATACGCAGTTTAAAAAAATATATATAAAATGCAGTGAATTGAACTCTTAAAGTACACAAAAGGGGGGCTGGGATGTAGCATGCTCCCTTAGCATTTCCAAAGCCCCGAGTTTGACCCCCAGCACCATGATAAAAACGGACGAGGTTACAGACCTGTGATCTCAGTACTGAGAAGGTGGAAGCAGGAAGATCAGATGTTCAAGTTCACCCTTGACCACATAGCGATTCGAAGCCAGTTGAGGTGCCTGAAACCCTTCTGTCCCAAGAAGGTGTTTTAATCATAACCACTGAGATAGGATTTAATATCTTTGGTAAGAATCATCAGCCACTTCTGGCATCCACTGCCCCATTTTGCTTCTTCCCTGCTGTGTGACCACTTGCCAGTCACTTAACCTCTCTGAGGCTCAGTTTACCAATGAATAAATTAGGACTTCTGGTATCTTTGTGCCAGTATGGCCATCTCAGTGGTGCTTTTTCCCCCGAGAGCTGCTTTCTTTGCCCCCACAGTTCGAGTTACTATGTCAGCCCCACACTTTGTGCTTATTAAGTCTTGAGTGTTCTCCTTTTCTGCCTTCCCCCACAGGGCTGATCATTCTCAGAAGATTTTGCCCTATTCTCAGCATCTAGACCTGGAACAGAACGGGAGCAAGGATGTCTGGTGCCTAGTGATATCCACACCCGAGGAGTGTCTGCGTGTGCACAGCTGACTGCTCAGGGCTCGGTACAGTGTCTGCATTCAGTAACTATTGGCTAATTATGACTATTATGTCTAATTGACAGGGCTGTTGTAGGAATGAAGTGAAAATAATCTATGCTCTCGTGTGGTGTGCTGTGCGTATTCTGTGCTGGGTGTGGGATGAACTGTGCTGTTGCCCCCTGGGGCCCACCTGAGGCCCCGAGCTGGGAGCTGGGAGCTGGGAGCTGGGAGCTGGGAGCTGGGAGCTGGGAGCTGGGAGCTGGGAGCAGAGTGTAGACTTGGCTTGGCTTGGTCAGTGAGCGCCCCCTTTGGTCAAGAGGGAATAATTTGTAATTCAAGAATTTCTTGGCAAATCAGGGCTCATTTTGAAGAGTGCTTTTTTTAGCATTTGGGCACCCCTGAGTTTGAAACCCCCAACACTGCACAATAGTAAGTGTGGCGGCCCAGTCCTCTAATCAAAGCACTCCAGAGGTGGAAGCAGAGAGATCAGGAGTTCAAAGCCATCCTCAGGCCAGCCTGGGTTTTAGGGGACCCCGTCTAAAGAAAAACAAATACTAACAAATCAAAACAGCAAGTCTGATAGCATAGATTTCTCCCAGAGAGCTATTCGTTTCCTACACTGTTTTGACTTTCAAAAACGTATCCCTGGGGGCTGGAGAGATAGCTCAGTGGTTAAAAGCATTGCCTGCTCTTCCAAAGGTCTTGAGTTCAATTCCCGGCAACCACATGGTGCTCACAACCATCTGTAAAGAGGTCTGGCACCCTCTTCTGGCTTCAGGCATACAGACAGAATATTGTATACATAATAAATAAATAAATATTTTTTTTAAAAAAAAAAACGCATCCCTTTGGGTGGATTTCTTCTTTTAACTATGATATCTTGACCCCAAAGGAACAGCTGCCAATTATGTCTGGCCTAAGAGCCATTCTTCCTGAAACCTATGGCTAGGCCTGAGCACAGAGTGGGTCTGATTGTTTAACCTTTAGGAGACTGTTCGAACAGATAGGTGCGTGGGGTGGTCAGAGTATGCACAGGGCGGCCGTTGCTTTGAGGATTGGTCTGTCAGTCCACCCGTCAGTCCACCTGGTCCATCGGTCGGTCGGTCGGTAGTCCTTCACCATGTTGGACCCAGGAAGGTGACGCTGTCCTCACTCTCCAAATCCTACGAGTCCTGGGCCTAAGACAGAGAGACCAGGTCACGTCTCTGCAGTCACACAGCTCATGAGTGCCTGCTGGGGTGGAACCTGGTTTGTCTGTCTGTCACCATCGTTCGGCAGCTGCGGGAGCAAAGATTTGGACAAGGGGCTCAGTGATGTCATGGGAGGGGCTTCTCTCTGGCTTTGAAGAGAATGATTAACTTTACTCAGGGGCCAGTGCTATGGATGTCTTGTGGTCGGGGGAACATCGCACAGAGAGGGTCCTTAATTATCTTGATGTCACCCAGCTAGCTAGAATTTGAGGCTGAATTTGCGGGTGGGCATCAGTGGGTATTTCTGTCGGCCACTCTGTCCTCATGACTGTGATTGTAAGCAGAGGCAGCATATGTCTGTGAGAGTCTGGGTTAAAATCCTGTCACCAACAGGGTGGGCATGTCCTAAAGTCAAGCTGCGTGTCCTTAGCAGATTGCAGGCTCTTAAAAAAAATATGCTTTAAGAACACACATGTGTTTAAATGTTATTTGTATAAAAGGAGGAGGGAAGAACCATTGGTTAAAATGGGTAACCAGCTGTACAATGGGGGCAAGAGCGTGGGCTCTGTGTAGTTAGTCCTAAGTGAGCCTCATAGTATGTAAAATAAGATATGTATAAGGCCTGAGGACGTGTGTGGGCTACAAACCAAATACTGGGGCTAACGCATCACCAGTGGGTTATATATAAAAAGAACTCAGAAAGATTGGGGGCAGTTAAATTTTTTTATTAAAAATTAAAAGAACATAAAATAATGTCCTCATGCCTTGAATCCAGCAGCTATGAGGGTCCTTCAGATAAACCCCAAGACTGACCCAGGTCTGCTAACCTCATGAGCATAAGGGCCCAGCAACCATTTCCTTCCATTCTGGGAGCCTCACATGGCCACTCTGCACAGGTGGCAGGCCTGGTACTTTAGGAAGTAATAAGGATGTAAAGTTATGTATAAAACAAATTATGCATAAATTTAATTAATTATGCATAAAATTAAAGAGCAGTTTATGTAGACCGACCATGAGGTGCTGTTTTCTGTCCTGTTTTAAGATGATTTAATTGACCAATCGAAATTGTATGTATTTAAGCTTCGATGTCTGCTGTTTGTGTCCAGTACTCCCCACACTGTCCTGCTCATGTGTGGGAGAAGAATATTTATTTAAGATGGACCTTCTGTGTTAATTTTAAATACACATTTCTGTTAACTAGAGTTGCTGCTGTGTACATTGTCCATTGAGAACTCAATGTTCTTACAAAAACAAGTTGTACTGTCTGACCAGCTCCTGTTCTTCACACCCACTGACCTCTGCTAACCGCCATTCTGCTCTGAGTTTGGGTGACATTATTAAGAGAGTGAACTCAGCCAACTGTTGGCCTGTGAGTAAGAAGGCACTAGGGTGTGCAGAACGGTCAATGGTCCTAGGTTGGTTGGTGCCTTTACGTGTTCTTGGTCTGTGGTTAAAATGCTTTAAATGCATGCATGAGGGCACAATGACAGGAGCCCAAGAGTGGCCCCCAACATGTTTATCTATTATTGTGTAATTGTAGCCCTGTTAAAACCTTACTTCTGTGTGTCAAGAATCATGTGGGCGTACGGAGCTATCTGCTCGGGATTAGTGCTCAGTTCCTCTGTGTTTATTGTATTTGAAGATGTATAAAAACCATGGGGAAAATGAACAGGCAATAACGATGAGATTGTATCTGGAGCCAAAATGGTTGTGTTTCCAACTCTGTACCTAGGTTTGTTTGGAAGAGGGTCTGTTCTTTCCTTTGTGGACAGGAAGTACAGGGATCAATGTTTGTAGAAAGAGTTCCTTTTTCTAAAGTTGGTCAATTAATGCATATTTATTGAAAAAATAACTATGAATGAATGAATGAATGAATGAATGAAAATGAATACCTGCTTGGGCCAGTATCATGATCTGATACTAAGATTAGCTGCCTTGCTCAGGTCTTCCTACTTTGTAATACCTGCCTTGTGTTCTGCAGAGTGGAGGCCCTAATATGAATGGAGACCTAGTCTGCTGGTCGAGACCTTGGCAGTGACCACTGTGGGCAATGAGCCATCGACCAACAATGTGAGTAATGGCTCCTTTTGTTATTTTTGAACTTGGGATTTTGGCTGATGGGTATTTGTTGCATTATTAAACATGATTGAGTTTGTAAATAAAATCAAAGATGGCCAAAGCACTAGTCAGTGATGAGAGAGTCATGAAACAAGGGTAATTAATCCAATTAGGCATAATAATTACCAAATTAGAAATTATAGAGTTGGCTGTTCCCTATGTGGAAAACAGCAAAGAAAAATGGAATAGCTCAGTCTAGGGTGACAGCTTAATTGGTAATGTGCTTGCCTTATAAGCACGAGGGCCTGCCTTCAAAGTCCTGGTGCCCACATGCAAAAACTAGGCATGGTGGCATGCTTATAATCTCAGTCCTGGAGAGGCAGAAACAGGACGAGCTCGGGGTTCTCTGGCTAGTCACACTTGCCTACTTGGGGAGCTCCAGGCCAGTGAGAGTCTCCATGTCAAAAAACAACATGAACAGTGACTGAGGAAGAATACTCTTTTGTTCTCTGGCCTAAATATGCATGCACATACATGTGCACCTTCACAAAATGAGCACACATATTACACAGGAAGTATGTATGTACTTAGGTACACACACATGCCATATGCAATGTATATGTTATGTGTTACATTTTTTTATTGTTGTGAGGGTGATGTGTTCATGCATGGTTATGGTTCTATTAAAAATGTTGATTCACTTCTGAAACAGAACCAATGGGCTAATAAATATAAGACAGCATGACCCGAGAGGATGATCACTCAGTTCTCCCAGTTGGAGAGGCATCAGAGCCAAAGTGCCTCAGCTTTGTCCACTGTTAGCTTGTGTGCAGTGCCTAGACACGTGTCAGTTCAGCTATTTTAGCCCTCTGTATTTGGAAGGGGCAGTTGGTGGTTTCTAGTTTTTATGTAAGATTCACATAGGTTGCTTCATGATTTTTTTTAATATGAAAACAAAACCCAAGTGCTCCAACCTTAGGCTAAGGAGGCTAATATTGGACAACTATTAAACTTCTTCATCAATGACACGCAAGGATGAGTCTGAAAATTGACCCAGCTTGCATGTTTCCAATAACTGTTTTCCATTACGTAGAATGAGTGCATTGGAGTTTATTCAATCATGTAATATTTGTGAGGGACTTTTACTCTTATTTGGAGATAAAAGGTACATAAAATGTGAGCGTTGATGCCATCATGTTTTGAAACAACTTTAAAAATTTATATTATGTGCATGAGCGTTTTGCATGCACATATGTATTTATATCAAATGCATGCCTGGTGCCCATGGAAGTCAGTAGAGAATGTTTGATCACCAAAATGGAGCTACTGATATTTGTGAACCACCATATGGGTGCTGGGAACCGAATCCAGGTCCGCTGCAGGAGTAACAAGTGTTATAAACTCTGAGCCACTTCTCCAGGCCTTGTCTTCATGGTTTAAAGTCTTTAGAGAGCTGTTCAAGGGAATTCACAAACAAGTAATCAAATGAATGAAAAATAACCAGCAATTAAACTAAGAGAGGGCAAGAATAAGGCAAAGATGATACAATGCCCTTGAATTTTTAAAAATCCATTTTATGTTGCCTCAGTTTTTATTTTGAACATGAGTTTAACTTCCTTGGCTCAGTGACCCAGATCTTAAAGGTGTTAGAGCCAAATATCTTCTCCATTCACCTGCTGGTAGCCATTTCCCAATGGGCAAGTGCTGCCTGCTGAATTGCCCCATGAGTCTACCTGCTTGCCTAATGCCATTTCCTAACCCCTCTGTAGGAAACTCTCCAGGTCAACCCTCTCCACGAAGTCCCATCATGGCAGGACTAGACTTCACAGATTCTCCCTTGACAGAGACCTAAAAGCAAAATTAAAGTAAGATAAAACACTTACCACCCTAGAATTATGATCCAAATTATATACATCACAAGTCCTTAAAAATATTTTGATTAAGGAGTTAGCCAATATGCTTGTAACCATGCAAACAAGGTGGTGTGTTGGAGCTAATTTTAGCACTAAAAGTAAATAATTACATAAATGCATTGAAGAATTAAAAGCCCAAAACATGGATTGGTGGTGAGAATGGTCCAAGCATGAGAGGATTGCAATTCTCTAATGTGCTCCTTGCCCCCATAACAACAGCCTGCACGTCCCATTCTCTTAGCCAGCTGGTTTGGGTTTTATTGTGTATATTACATGATTTGTTTGGACATTCGACCATAAGTAATGTTTATTATTATATTATTATAGGCTGTTTATTCTTTGAGCTAGGAGTGAGAAGAAGGAGATGAAAGCCATTGCCCTGCATTAAAAAGTCGTGGATGGCACTTGCTCACTAACGTTTTCTTAGAAAGGACCAAATCACAGGGCTGGAGATTGCTCAGTGGTTTGGAGAGCTTCCTGGCCAGATCCCAGCACCTGTGTCAAGCTACTTGTAATTACTTCTAATTCTAGTTCCAGGGTGCCAAAATCCCTCTTCTGGCCTCCAATGACAAGGTGCACACAGCACATCACACATACACAGAAGGTCACACACACATGGACACAGAAAAATAATGAAGACAATTTTTTTTTAAAACGAGATATGATCAAATCAAATGCAAGAGAGTCAGCATGAGCTGGGGATGGTGTTGAGACTCAAACTCTTTACCTGTCTGTCTAAGTTCCTTAGGAAAAGACCCAGGATGTTTTAGGATAAACAGCAGGCCCCAGCCCTGCCCCATGGATTTCTGTGCAGAGAGGAGGTCTGGTGATTGCTTCCATGAGGAGCGGTGGTCTTTAGCCTTGCAGGAATATTGTACACTTGAGATGTAGTTATGAAGAGTAAGGCTTTCTTTTGCTTATTTTTTTTTTTAAATTCATTTAGATTTAAATAACCCTCCATGGCTAGTTGTATTAGGTGATTGCTAGTTGTATTAGGTGATTGGTTCATGGGAGTTTTAAGAATTCTAAAGAGTAGCCATGCAGTGGTGGCTCACGCCTTTAATCCCAGCACTCGGGGGCAGAGGCAGGCGGATCTCTGTGAGTTCGAGACCAGCCTGGTCTACAAGAGCTAGCTCCAGGACAGGCTCCAAAACCACAGCGAAACCCTGTCTCGAAAAACCAAAAAAAAAATTCTATAGAGTGATAAATATACATAATTTAATGGATATTAATTGTAGTTTAATGGCCGAATGTGCTAAAAAGAAGTATTATAATTAATATAGTGCTGTACAGCTGCATTTAACTGCTAAAAATATTTGGTTCATGTATTTATTTCTTTCATTAACTTTTCAACATTTCCTTGACTTTGTATTCTATAGTCCATGCGAGCCTGTCTCTAATATTGAAGATTTATATATCTTAATGGACAAGAACCCCAAAGGTATTGTCAAATTTGCTAGTGGTGTATTAAGTGATTGTTTTGAGTATATTCTTTATATTATCAAATGACTTCTGCAAATGATTAGTGGCTACAAAGGGCTGGAAATGGAGCTCAGTGAGAGAATACTTGCCTATTGTGGGCAAGTTTCTGGGCTTCATCCCCAGCCCCACACGATAACACTGAGTCTACCTGTGCCACAAAGTGATAATATGATGATTTCAATTAATTTAGATCAACAGAAGTGTAATCCAGTAATGAAAAATACCACTCCACTTCAACACAACTCAATTCTATTAACATATAGTAAGACTACATTCTTTATTCACACATAGCACGACCACATTATTTACTTACACATAATGAGACCACATTATCTATTAACACATAGTAAGACCACTTTAGTAATTTACACATAGTAAGGCCACATTGTTGCGATAGGAGCGGAGGGACTGCGTCCCCGGCACCCGGCCGCCCACATGGCTAGCTTATGCCCCGAAATAATTACATGGAAACTGTATTTTTTTAATCACTGCCTGTCCCGTTATCTGTAGCCTCTTATTGGCAAGCTCTCAGATATTGTTCTAATATTCAGTGTAGCCCACGAGGAGGCTTACCACGAGGAGGCTTACCAGGGAGGATCTTAACCTGCTTCTGTCTGGAGTGGGAGAACCATGGCGACTCTCTGATTCAGCTTTTTCTCCCAGCATTCTCTTCTGTTTACTCCACTCACCTATGTTCTAACCAATAAAATGGGCCAAGGCAGTTTCTTTATTATAATCAACCAATGTCCTTCCTCCATCACCACATTATTTATTTATACATGATAAGACCACTTTATTTATTTACACAGAGTAAGACCATTTTATTTATTTACGCATAATAAGATTACATGGTAAGAGTAAGACCACTTTATTTACACAGAGTAAGGCCACTTTATTTATACATAGTATGATTATTTATTAACACATAGTAAGACCACTTTATTTACACATAGTAAGACCTTTATTTACACAGATTAAGACATTTATTAACACATAGTAAGACCACTTCATTTGCACATAGTAAGACAACATTATTAATTAACACATAGTAAGACCACTTTATTTATTTATACATAATAAGATTACATAGTAAGAGTAAGACCACTTTATTTACACATAGTAAGACCACTTTATTTACACATAGTAAGACATTATCTATTAACACATAGTAAGACCACTTTATTTATTTACACATAGTAAGACCACATTATTAACACATAGTAAGACCACTGTATTTACACATAGTAAGACATTATTGATTAACACATAGTAAGACCACTTTATTTACACATAGTAAGACCACTTTATTTACATATAGTAAGACAACATTATCTATTAACACATAGTAAGTAAGACCACTTTATTTATTTACACAGAGTAAGACGATATTGTTACTAGCATTTCCATACTTCACATTACTTTTACACCACAGTTGGTTTAATCCACTGATCATGTTCATAATAGCTTGTTGTATCAACTTTGAAAAATAGACAAATTAAGGGGAAAAGCGATAAAGATAGGCTTGTGATGAATATGGACTCCCTGTATTCAAGAATGTTGACCGAGAGCCCGGCACAGCAGCTCATGCCTGTAATTCTAGGACTGCTAAGGCGGGGGTTGAGACTATCATGGGCTAAAAAGAAAGACATTCTCTAAAAACAAAAATAAAGAAAAAGAATGTTAGTGTAGTGACACCTGGTTAGTAACACCAGGGTAGTGACGCCAGTAATATTGACAGGAAGGAATGTGTGTTCAAGGTTAGCCTGGACTCTATAGTGACATCCTGGAGCCGTGGCGAAGAAACGAGAGAGAGAAAGTTAGAAAGAGATAGACTGATTATGCAATCCATCTATCAATCAAAAAAGTCCACATTTTGGGGTGTTATTCTATAGACATGCACTTTCCAGGAGAGGGGGGCCACTAGCCACACTGAGCAGTTGAACGGTCAGTGTTTTAACATAGATGTGATCGCCATTTAAAATTCCCAATGTAGCTATTCTTGAATAAGTGTGTTGATTGGTCAGCTTTATTTACTTATTTATTACACTATTTACTTTGCCACAATGATACAGTTTAGAGTTGTGACACAGAGCGGAAAAAAGCAATTTTCTTTGTTTTCAAATTCCTGTTACTCTTCGAGATTGGGAGGAAAGGAATCAGAATTCTCTGCAATTTCAGAATTATGATTATTTTAAGGATATATCTAAAATGCATGTTTAAAGCATAAATCACACTAGATTTGATGGCTTTGACAAAGAGCTACAGCCTACAGGAATATCCAAACAATATAATGTAATTTCCAATTCAGATCTCGCAGGAAGGTAACAGCCCTGGTGGAATTATATGTGGACACTGCCCCTTTCAGGACTTACTTTGAATTGAACCTGTCTTAGCTATTAAGAAATGAGTCAAAGGACTTGCACAAACTCTTCAGTATGTGCTTTATCTTTTTTATTATTCAATCAGTCTGCATATGCTTGCATATAACATTATAGACTAGGATCTGCATATGGGGCATTATAAATCATATCTCATAAATTAATGATTGAAGAGTCCAATAAATTAGATGAGTCATTCTTTGACTACTCATCGGCATGTGTAAACATTGTGGTTTTACTTGATTTGGTTTGCAGAGACTAGGTACCAGGAAGAAGGCCCAATGCTCTATTGCTGCCCGAATTTCCTAAACCTGTATTTTTACTTTAATTATTTTTTTTTTATTTTATTCACACATTTGTCTGTCTCAGAGTGTCAAATTCCCTGGAACTAGAGTTACAGACAGTTGTAAGCAGCCATGTGGGTGCTGGGAATTGAACCCAGGGCCTCTGAAAGAGCAGAAAGTGCTCTTAACTATTAAGCCATCTCTCCAGGCCCAAACCTGTATTTTTTCTAAATTCAAAATCTCCAAAATTTATATCAAACATGTTAATTGCTTCTAATATGTTTGTCACTCTTTAGATAAAGATTATTGCAACTCATTTAAGGTTTTTACTCTACAGGTTCAATGTTGCGCTCCTCATGCTACCTGGAAGACCCTGAGCCTCTGTGGGGCAGGAAGAAAGGGACTCAGGTAAGTAGTGTTGAGTGACTGTGCCATCCATGGGCTCACATCAAGAGGATGAATGACAGCTGCCAAGAGACACGAAATAAAAAGTTAGCGAGGCGTGATGGGGCACACCAATCATTCTAACACCTGGGAGACTGAGGCAGAAGGACTGCTTTGAGTTTGGTGCCATCCTGGGCTACATAATGAGATCTTGTATTATTAAAAAAAAAGGCTTCAATCCAAAACCAAATAGCTGCATGAAAGAAAACAAAGCAAAACAAAAAAACAAAAGGAACAAAAAAAATTACGATGCCATTTTCCGAGGGATGTGAAGGGTTTTTAGCACAGCTGTGACAATCAGGTAATGCAAACCTTAACTAGCTAGAATTAGTCATTCGGTAGTGTTTAAGTCCTTGAAAACATAATGTGTGCACTTAATGTGCACAATTTCATCTTTCAATTATAAAAGCAAAACAAAACAAAAGTGAGCAAACCTGCCAGGCATCAGTTGCTGGTGGGGACTGAGATTTACTGATTTGAGCATAGCCCGGCACCTGCTGCGCTCGGGCTGGGGGACCTTGTGTTGACGCACATGGCCCAACTAAAATTCTCTTCTGTTTTTGTGTTTGTAGAAATTTTGCCTTTCAGGAGATGATCTGATCTAAGTTTTTAAATATTGTGCAGAGGGACCCCAGCAAGATGCCATGTTTTATCTCTGGGGTGGACTCCTTGGCCCCACTGAAGCAGTTGAGCGAATAATCGTGAGCACCAGAGTGGCAGGAAGCAATGTGACTGATTAATATATATGGTCAGGCTATAGGTCTAATTAAGAAGTGATCTTATTTACCTACTCTGAGGACATGAGCCTGGAAATTGCTTGCTATGTTAGTGAAAGATTTTGGTTTTGGATTTCCATGATTCATGGGCACTAAGAGAAACTCTGAATGAAAAAAACTTATGTAGATATATTAATGTACAGATACATAGTGAGGAAAATGCATTGAGCACAGACCAACAATGAGTACCTCTGGTGGATGTGTCAATACTTGTGCATAAACAGTAAACCGAGGTCTATTGGAAACACACATAGTTGGCAGGTCTGGGACAGGGGTAGAGTTCCTGATAGTAATGCAGGCCAGTGTGACATTTGGCTCATGGGCCCCAGTGGCTCCTGAATCAGCATTGTAGGAGTTTGTGAGGAAAATAGAGAGATGTCAACTATGGTAAGTTAGGATATCACAGTGCGAAGCAACAGCTGCTAGCTATTTTTAATGCTGGGTTCCCTTACCCTCTACCAATAAAAACCGCTGCCCCTCTGGGGCATGCAATACTCCCAGACACACAGACTCACATGCACAGGTGCATCAAGGTGTCCCCGCAGACACTTTTAAGGGTTGTAGAAGGTGGCTAGATGTTGTTTGTGCTAAGGAGAAAGGATAAAAACATAAGCAATCTTGAAAGTACGTAATGGACTAAAAACAAGTGTGGGTCAACAGAGAGAATGTTGTCTGTAGTGCTGGCCCTGCTTTTTCTCTCATGTAGAATCTAAAGAAAAAAATAGAGAGGTCTAGAATGGAACCAGCAGCAGGGCTTGGAATGGGGGTTGAGTGTCAGTAATAGGGACAGAACTATTGTTAGACTATCTGATACACACGTATGAAACTGTCCTGAGCCCCATTGTGTGTAAGTACACACTAGCAATCTAACTCTGGGCTTTTTCTTTCTTTTGAAAGTTTGTGCTTGACTACAGCAAGTGGATGCGCCCCCTCCAACTAAATCATTCTGGAACATGAAAGGTCTCAGATTTTACCTCTGTGGGTAAGGAAAGAAGAGATTAATGTGAGTAATAGCTCAAATTTTATGTTCTTGGGTTCGGGGGTTGGCTTATGGGTGTTGCTTTCACCTTCCCAAAGTAATGAATTGATGTAATTCATAAGTAAAACCAACAAAGGCCAGTGGTAGGCATCAAAAGCGTGGAAGGGAATGTGCTCAGACTGGGGGGGGGGTTTAATTAATGTGATTTAGCGCCATTAAAATCCAACAGAAGAAGGTAGGTGCTAGGTCATTCATTTTCAGGGTTGCTTAATATTCCATTTTCTTCGTTCATGCTGCAATTCACTTATGTATTTTTTCACTCGTAACAATCACACTGTTAATTTCTTAACAGCGTGAAAACAGGAGAAAGGGTTCGGGACAGAAAATGATCTGTTGATTCTAGTTGCATAGTAAGATCATGGGGCATCACTTATTCATGGTGCCACCCTTAAGGCCCAAAGCGTCCAGGCAAAGGGTCCATGGTGAACACAGATGAATGGTTGTCAGAACACTGACTGGCTAGAATGTAAAAAAAAGGATACACATTTTGGGGGAAAGTGACCAGATTTATTAACTAAGTGGAGAATGGACAATGGAATTGTGAAGAGATGTTGCTCTTGGGCCTTCTGATTTGTTCATGTATCATGTGTATACGTAGACATGTGCATAGCTTAGCACATTGATGCATGAATAGCGAGCAAACGGAGAGAGTGTATCAATAGCCTTGTAGAGCAGTGAGCTTCCCCAGGTGTCTGAATACAAGAGTTTTGACTCATCTGTAACTCGGGAAAATGTCAGAAAAGACAATCCTCCACCCCCCTCATTTCTGCTGTGAGGTGTGCTTCTTGCACAAGATGAGCACAGACAATGATTTGGGCCTCCGCTCATCCCTTCTTTGAATTATTTTATTATAATGGGGCGAGCACAAGAACGAATAAAGGTGGCCAATTTGGCAAAAATAGAAAAAGAAAAGAAGGAAAGAAGCATTATTACTCATGGTTCCTTTCCAACCCTCATAACACATAGATGCAGTCTGTCTGACCATGGCCTTGAAGGACATGTCCTGTCCTGTGAACCACGGTATTGCTGTTTGGATTGTGGCCACTGGTTGTATTTAGACAAGAAATAAATTATATGTATGAAAATGATTGTTTGAATAATTGTCTACTTGAAAAAAGGCTAAGCATGGGAGACTTCTGTGTACATTATTATATGCTTTACTGATCTAAAGGACATTCTCTTAAAAAGGACCTTGTCCACTGTGTCTTTGATCACTGTGCCTAAGATTATAGCTAATGTTTGGTCCAGTGTCTCACCTTCCCTTTTGATGTACCCTTAAAATTGAGTAAAGGCATGAGCTCACAGCTCAGCTGATGTAGACCCAGGTACAGTTAAGAGCAAGTTTTATAAAGGAAAAATTTGAATAGAAAATTTTCATCTTATTATTGTTGTGGCGTGGGTGTGCACATACTAGTACGCATGTATGTAGGTCTGTGGACAGCCATTTGGAAGCTGATTCTCTCCTTTTCATGGTAGTGTGTGATAATAGAACTCAGTCCCGTGACTTTCTCAGCAAGTACTTCTGCCCACTAATCATCTTGCCAGTCAAAGATCTGATTAATTTAGACTCATTAGTGATTAATAAAAGCCCTCCATCTTTAACTGACCTTTGTTGGATTGCATCATATTAAATGCAAGTTTTTAGTTCATTTCTGTGCCTGGCCCCCACCACATCTTCTGATTTTATTTATATGTTGGCCGTTTATGCCTTTAACACAAGTTAGCAATAAACCACCTACGCCTAAGCTATTGAACGTACAAGTACAAAAGTCCTTGAGTCCCTTCCGCACCCAGGTGGAAGCCAGCATCTCCATCTTCGCTGCACGTCAGCTGTGGCGTTCTCACTCTGTGGAGAGTGGAAGGTGTTTCTGCTCTGTGACACATGCACTCTACACAGAATGGAGCCCACAGACTTAAACCTTTTAATGGGCTGAGTCATGAGGGATTGGGCGACTAATCCAAACTTGGTGACTCTTACATTCCCATTGTTATCGGCTCCAAAATAACTCTACTTCTTAACGCACTGACTCATGTCCTCTTTAATGTTTCATACAACAGAAACTAAACTTCACCTCCCTGCGCAAGGGAAACAAATGCAGTCATTAAGACCATGTGCTACTACCCACGGACACCTTAGCCTCATTTATCTTTTTCAAGGGACCTGGTTGTGCATTGCTATGGGTCTCCCCTGAAACAGTGCTCCGAGAGGCCCCATGTTTCATGCATTAGCTGGCCGGCTCGTCATCTTTATTCTGTCAGTAGCTTGTTCACTCCTAAATTACATCAAGCGGATAGATGCTTGCTATGAATAAAATAAAAGAAAGAATATGGGACAGCAGAGGGAATTGCCCAGAGTTTGTCGTTAATAAGATTGAGCATCCCTAACTCTGCTAATCATGGACGGCTTTGGTTTGTTCTCAGAATTTTTCAGTATTAAGATTTGCTTTGCGGCCTTAGTAGTTTACACACTCAGTCAGTGATGAATGCCTGGACCCAGAACTCACTGAGGTGGGAGCGTGCAGAATGAGGGCGGCAGGCAGTGCTAAGGTCCTTGATGTGATTGGAGTGTGGTTTGTGGTTGTTCACGTTTAGTTCCCCTAATCTGAAACATCAGAAAGTGTTCTTAAATCTGAAACTTACTGAGCATTGACTTTTGGTGCATGTGGAAGATTCCACACGTGTCCTCATGATGGTTATAGTTAAAATACGGTCGGTTTCACTGAAGTATTCTAAAAACGTCTTTCTGGTCACAGGTGTCAGGTGACTAGGTGACAAAGGAATCTTATTTCTTTTGCGGTAATGTTTTTAAGATATTTGGTTATGTTTGTGCAAATTTTCAAAAGTTGAAGAAAAATTCCACACTTATACCATGCAAGTCAGAAGCAGGATGCTCAGCCGTGACTGTTGATAGCTCTGGCATGAGTTCCGCATCCTGTGATTTCATGGCTACAGTATGAAATACACTAGTCTCACAGTTTCCATGAAGCACGAATTCAGGGGTTTCTATGTGCTGTCTTGTCAACTTACAACAAGATGCCAAGCAAAATAGTTGCTTGGCTGTGTGTGTGTATGTTTTTGTATGTATGTATGTGTGTTTGTGTGTATGTCTGTGTGTGTGTCTGTGTATGTTTGTGTGTTTGTGTGTGTGTCTGTGTGTCTGTATGTATGTGTGTGTGTCTGTGTGTGTGTGCATGCGTGTGCATATGTGTGTGTCTGATCTGCCTGCAAGGCTCATGTCCATGGCTGGCTGTTGCTGGGGACCATCCTTCCTCTCCACATGAAGCCTTCCTCAGTAAGAATCCTTAAAACATGGCAGCTAATTTCCCCTGAGCCATCAGTACAGGACAGAATTAGGTAGGTCCTTCATGTATCACACAGCCTAACTCCCTGAGGCACAAACCAACACTTCCATATTGTTCTACTGATCACATAGACAGCCATGATCCCCAATGTGAACAGATCATACAGGCTGTGTGCCACAAGCTGTAGACCTGGCCATCATCTTGGAGGTTGAGAAGAGCAAGGAAGGTTCCCAAGAGGGATTGACATGAAGTGAGGGAGCTGAATAATCACATGTCCTCTTCACTGCCACGAGAGTCTCAGTCCCACAGAAAATCAGCTATCAGGTCTCTGTCAGTGCACTGCAGGAGCTTGATTTCAGCTTCCCATTTTCTCACTATTGACTTTGTAGTCATGATTCAATAAATGAGGGAGCTGGTAAACAAAGGTAGGACTAACTAAACCAAGACAACCAAACCCTGACCAATGATGAGAATTCTGGGGTGTCTCAATCAATGATTTTGATTAACCCTGTAACTCTGAGGTCCATCGGAGGCCGGTGAGATGACTCAGTGGGTTTAGGCACTTGTTGCCAAGCCCGAGAGCCTGAGTTCAATCCCCGGTCCACATGGTGGAAGGAAGAGAACTGTTCCCGAGGTTTTCTTCTGATCTCCCCATGTGTGCTACAGCATGCACCTACACACAGACAAAGACATACACACACAAAGAAACATACACATAGACAGAGACACATGCAAGGCACACAAACATGCATCCAAAGACACATACACAAAGACACACATAGACAAAAAGACACACAACACACACAGACACATAGACAAACACACTACAGACACACAAATGAACACACACAAAGACACACAAATATAGGTAAAGACACACAAACACAAAGAGACAGACTACATACAAGTAAAGACACACAAAGACAAAGATACTAATAAGACACATATAAAAAGAGACACACACATAGAAAAATACTCACAAGATGAATATACATATGAAGACACACACACACAAAGATATACATAGATACAAAGACACAGAAGATACACACATATAAAGACACATGCACACAGGCTAAGATACACACAAAAGACACACACAACAAAGACACACAGAAAGACACAGAAGACATACATACAGACAAAGACACACAACACACACAAAGACTCATTCACTGCTGGACGGTGGTGGTGCACTCCTGTATTCCCAGCACTTGGGAGGAAGAGACAGGCGGATCTCTGTGAGTTCGAGGCCAGCCTGGTCTACAAGAGCTAATTCCAGGGCAGGCTCCAAAGCTACAGAGAAACCCTGTCTCAAAACACCCACACACAGACAAAGACATACACACACACAAAGATACAGACAAAAGCACATAAAACACACACAAGGACATAAGACACACACATACAGACAAAAAACACCCATAGACAAAGACACACACAAAACACATATAGAAAAAGACACTCACCCAAAGGCACATACAAGACACACATACACACACCTAGGCAAAGACACATGACAGGACACAGACACACACAAAGACACACATAAAGGCAAAGACACACACATAGGCAAAGACACACACTTAGACAAAGACACACATGCAAAGACTCAACACATACAAAGACATACACAATGATACACAAATATAGTCAGACACACACACATGGACAGAGACACACACAGATAGATACAGACAAAGACAACACACATAAAAATACATACATGCATACAAAGACACACATGCACACAAAGATGTACACAAAGATATACAGAAGACCCACACACAATAACAAAGACACACACAAAGACATAATCACATAGCCCATGACACATACAGCAAAGACACACAACAGACACAAAGACACACTCACAAAGAAATACACACCACACCATACACAAAGCACACACAAATACACACACAGATAAAGATACATAACACACACAAACACACCTAACAAGTAAAAAGAATAGACACCTTTTTAGTTGTTTAGTAAATCTCATTACAGTTAGAAACATTTTCAATTTTGTTCTTTAGCTACTTAGTTTCATAAGTCTGTGTTGTTTCACTGTAAGTAAATTAATACAACTAGGCAGATATTTAAATGCGTAAATCTTTAAATAGTCAAGGACAAAACACAGCTGTTTATGGCCTCCTCATGAGATTACAGAATTTATGTACTATTGCGAATACATTTAAGGCAATCAATTCCAGCATAAATTTATTAAATCTGATTGATAGCCCTTCACACAGGAACACTGAGACCTGAGAAATTGATAGCATTGTTCTTCATCATTAAGGAGAGAGCGGATGGGGAATTCATGCTTGTTTATTGAACTGTAGTTAAAATACAGAAAGTTCAGTAGTTAGGAACCAGCATTGATCTAATGAGCACAGGATTGCTAAGGTTAAGGAAAGCTAAGCATCCCTGTCACATGGACATTCACTGTGGAAAGAGGAAGCCATCAGTTTTCTATTAACAATATCATGCTTGTTGTTGTTGGGACTGATTGTCTGTTGATTTTGTTGTTGTTGTTGTTTCCTGTGGGTGAGCAAAGGATGGTTTAAATGAATGAAGAAAGCATTCAAACCTATGCCAGTGATCTTGGAGCATGTCAGGAAGAACTTAACTAGACCCGAAGTCCCAAGGACTGCTGGGAAGCTAAAGCAGCTACTTTTTTCATGGGAAAGAGTATGGGAAGACTCAGTTTGGTGGTTTTTTTGTTTGGTTTTGTTTTTTTGTCTGTTAAGATTCTTTAGTTCAAGCTGGGGAGTAGTAGCACATGCCTTTAATCACAGCACTTAAGAGGCACTTAGGAGTCAGAGGCAGGCAAATCTGTGTGAGTTCAAGCACAGCCTGATCCTCAAAGTAGGTTCCAGAACAGCCAGAGCTACATACAGAAACCCTGTCTTGAACCCACCCCCCCCAAAGATTCTTTATTTCAATTTATAAGTTAACACATGAATAAATGAGGAAAATATGAAGATGAATAGAAACAATTAAGGCGAGCTGTGGATGGAGCATTTCCTGGTGTGTGATGACAGGAAGATCTCATGGAAAGAGAAATGGGATTAATTGAATTTCCATGTAAAGGGTCACTCTTGAGGTGAGGGACATAAGAAGAGGGCCCTTGAAGAATTGGGTGCTTTTGGTGCCAGCCAGTTGTTTCTCTAAATGTTTCTTCCCCACACCTCCCCTCCCCTACTATTTTATTTTGTTAGATCAGTTTTAGGATCTTAGAAAAATTGACTTGGGGCATTCTGGGCTTTTGTCTTTCTGAACAAATTTTAGGATAAGTGAATCAATATTCATAGAAATAACTTGCTGATATTTTAATTGGAATATACTGAATCTCTAAGTTAAGTTGGAAAAAAAGTTGATATTTATGAGATTGGCTCTTCCTGTCCATGAACATGGGAAAGCTCTTCCCCTCAAGTTATCTTATCTCATGATAAACCTCACTTTATTAATGAGTCCTATAATTTTATTCATATGGACCCACACAATTTGTTCATTCCATGCCTAAATATTTCTATATTGTGGTGCTAAAATAAGTAATCTTAGCTTGTATTTGACTTGTTTAGGGTGCCGTTTTCTACCACACGCGATTTAAACATTTGTCTGTCAGTCTGACCCTGGCTGATAGGGAAGAAATCACAAGTAGTGCGAGGTGCTGCCTTTATTACCTTCCATTGGGCCATCTTCACACATCCATCAGTGAAAAGGCCTGGGTACCACCTGTCAGAGCAGAGTGGTATGAGGCCTAGGTGCTGGCAAATCATTTTTGTTCCCTGAAGTCCACGATTAAGGGAGATTTATTGTGTAAGAAAAGGGAGCTCTGGTCTCTGGAGTTTTATGTGGTGTGGTAAGCACCAGTGAATTAACAAGAGAAGAAAGATGTAGAGGAAGGAAGGCATGTTTGGGCCCATGATGAGTACCACGGGGTATCTGAAACAAGGATATTGTGATTAAACCCGTGTATGACTCTGAGGTCCTTTAGAAGTAGTCCTTTTGTAGGGAATAAGTGCCCGGTGCCATGTCCTTGGCTTTTGTTGGGGGAATACATTGACTGGGGAAGGCGGTAGATAGGGCGCATAAGCTGCGTACATTCTCAGCTTGGTTTTCAACTTTTATTTTGAAATTAGTTCATTAATTTTTAAAAAGTAAGAATAAAAAAGAGGACAAGTTATAAAATTATTACAAAGAAACATAATGAGACATGGATTATTATTACATCTAACCAACAGTAAAGGCTCTTAGCATTATTCAGGGTTATGTGGTCATTTGTATGTAAAAGTGTTTGCCATATATTGGTAACTGGTCTTGGATAGTTCCTTTAGGGAAGTGACACCCGCTCATTGGTGTAAAAAATTGTTAAATGTCCACATAATTGCCAAATGAGCACAGACCAATGATAAGAATGTTAATTCAAAACCTTCAGGGTTTTTTTTTTTTTTGGTTTTCTTAATAAAAGTATATAAAGAACCAAGCCTGCCATTATTGAGGGCAGTGGCAATAGCCAGATGAAAACATTTTTTATACCCCAGGGCCACAGCTGTATCTATGGTGCCTGTTGGGAGAGATCTGCGAGTTAACACCCCTGGTAAAGCCTGGCTGTAACTCTGATATCTTTTACTCAGTGAGGGAAGGACCATGCTTTGTGGAGAAACTGTGTGCAGAAGTTGAGGGGAAACTCAGTCAACACGCCCTCCGAATTTTGTGATTCAGCAATGTGAAGTGTGTTATTTCAAGAGAATCAACATGTACCTAGGAAGTGGAGACAGTAAAGAAAGACACACTACATAAGAGAGGCACACCTATGAGTACAGCAAGCCGTCTAATAAGCGAAGAATAAGTAATGCTATTGCTTGCTAAACAGCAAGAGCAGCTGTTAATTGGGGCAGAGCGGAATGGAGTCTGTAGTCCTTTTGCATACTGAGCATATTAGTAGCTGCAATTGAGAGAGCTGCTTGGGTGTTTACTGTTCATTAGGAAAGGCGAAAGCACAGCAGCCAACAGTTTGTTAAATACCCCCTGATTAACAGATGTTTCTAATTACTGGAGAACTTATTCTTGGGCACAGTTCCTTACATGTTTACAAGGTTAAACGTCCATGTTTACAATATTCAACATCCCAAGTTCTATATTAAATCTCAAGTTTATTTTTATCTAGTTCTGCTTGTCCCATTACATTATAAATGCATCCTAATTCTCCTTTTCCCTCCTATGGTGAATGTAGGACCCCTGATTTAATTATTTAATATGGAATCATTGTCCTGAGTCAGGAGCGTAGATGAGAATAAAGGTAAGACCCTTTGTTCCCGCTCTTTGTTTGGAGTCTTCTGTTTATAGATGGTAGCTGATCTATTTCAAGATGAGTACTACATACCTACTAAAGCAGGCGCCCCTCTCCAACTATGTCCTAATTGAGGGAAGGCAGGGTTATTTACAAAAGCATGTTTAATCCAAATTAGTGCAACCGAAATGATTTTCAATGGAGAGGTTGTTCTCCTGGCCTTTAGCGTTACTCTTCGTGTTGTGGCTGAGTTCAGCACGCACAAAAGTAGCTCCCTGGGGATGGCCCAGTACACAAGCTTATGAGTGTTTCAGAGGTGGAAGACAGTACATTATGTTTCATGGAGCCATTTTTGGCATATGGCGGGATTAAATAAAAGAGGACAACACCAAAACTAGATGGGGATTTGCTCCAAAGCAGACATGTTTAACAGTCCATAGTGTGCTAGTATGATCTGAGAAAGGAGCCCCAACCCAAAGATCTGGTTTCGGGGACTCTGTTTTGTTAATTCTGAATCAGTCAGTTAAGAAATGAAGCAAACACCCAGCATGGGCCAATGATGAGGAGCATGGGGTTTCTGACCGCGGACAGTGATTAAACCCTTATGAAATCTGAGGACTATTGCAACGTGGTGTCTGCAGCCGGTAGAAACGAGTCCCCAAAGCCCGATCTTTGTGGATTCATGGCACAACCCACATTCCTGCAATAAAACTAGCTATGAATAAAGACTCTATCAGTGACTGAAAATTAGGATAAGACTGGTCAAGATGGCACATGCCTACAGTCCTAACACTTAGGGAGTTGAGGCAGGGGCATCAGGAGCTTGAGGCAAACCATGGTTACATTTCTCCCCAAAACAAAACAAACAAAACCAAAATAAAGCAACAACAACAACAACAAAAAGCAAAACCAACAAAATGAAGTAGGTGGCATGATTCTACATTAAGGGCATTTGCCACCATGCCCGATGATAGCTGAATTCCATCACCTGAAATACTCATGAAGAAGGACAGACTCCTATATGTTGTCTTCTGATCTCTATGCATATGCCCCGCACACACATCCAAGTTTGTGCACTAAATGAACAAATTAATTAAAACAAAAAAGAGAAGAAACCAATGGTATACTTGTACTTTATTGAGCATTTAATGCAGTGTGGGTGGTTAGTCATTTTGAGAGCCTTAGTTTAGGTGCCTAGCATCCGTAGAGATCATGCTATTTAATTATTGCAAAAGGAGACAAGTTGAGACGAATTGACATATGTCAAGGAAAAGAAGCCATTTCTGTAATTAGGGACTAAAAAAAGAACACTCATACACAGGGCCACGATGAGACTTCACACACACCACTTTGGATAAAATCTAGACAACTTTATTGAAATAAACACACGCTAAGTCAAGTCTAATAAGTTTGCTTCTCGTAAAGCGGTGACATAGGAAAAACATAAATGTCACTCAGGGGCTGCTACAGTACGGGTGGACTACCATCAAACACGGTGTGATTAAGAAGAGACACATTCTTAAATTTGTATCTTAACCAGTCCTTTTTGTTTGAATTCAGCCATTATGTACCAGTGGAAACCTTTACACCCTTGGGATCGTTACGCCATCCACTTGTGAAATCCACCGGAAGACAGAGATTTTTCTGGGCCTTTCCAGCATTGCATTTGGGAATTTACCTTGTTAATGTTTCAGTGTTGGCTTGATGGCGGCAAACTTTAAAATTCTGCTAGAAAAATTATCCCATGAGAAATTAAACACATCAGTTAGTGAGGGAAGTAAGCAGGAGCGGGGGAGAAAGCTAACTCAGTCAGTGTTTGCCTTGAAATCATGAGAAACTGATTTCCATCCCAGCTCATGTAAATTAAAAAGGTTGAGTGTGATGATGTATATGAGAAACCCTAGTGCTGGGGAGGCATCCGTGGGTATATGATGGCATGTACCAGTGACCCCAGTGCTGGGGAGGCAGAGGCAGGTAGATTTCTAGCTCTTGTGGCTAGCCAGTGAGAGACATAACTTTATTAAACAAGATGGTTAGCTTCTGACCAGCACCCAAAGTTGTCCTCTGGCCTTACACACACATGCACTCACGCATGCATACACACATACATACATGCACACACTCACGCACACACACACATGCTCTCACACTCACACACACGCACTTATGCACAGACGTGCACTCCCACATGCACATATACACATGCACACATGCTTGCATACACATGCACACATGCATGCATACACTGGCTAACATGAGCCTGCACTTACCCAGGAAAATTGAGCTTGGACCATCACAGGGATTGTACCATATGGTAAATCTCTCCTCTCTAGCTTTTCGCAATGTCCAACTGAAAGGACAACTTTGCTCTTATGTATGTTGGTAACAAACACACCAGCTGTTCCTAATAATTAGAGTTATTTTTCTTTCCTTTTCTTTTTTTTTAACTGCTGGTTTCAGTGGTGTTCATTACATTATTTAAAATAAAAACTAATACAGGTTCATAAATATAAAGTGCTGTTCTTGCTTCCAAATCCCATAAAGCAGTAAATATAAAGGACTGCTGCCTTCCAGAGTGTTACAACCGGAACGCAAACCGTTTATGGCTAATTGATCACCCCACAACTGTGGTTCCTCCTCAGAAGCTGACCCACACTAATTCATTTGCATGTTTGCCTTTTACTCCCCAGAATGAGCACAGCTGATGTGGCTTCCTGGCTACCTTCTGGGGAAGATCTTGCCTGTTTCCCTCTGGAAAAGATGTAAGTGCTCATGAAAGACCTTGTCCTTGTTGGGAGAGGGATGCCATCCTGTCCATAGAATGGTCCCCGAGGTTCAGGTTCCAGGTGGCTATGAGCTTGACAGTGATGGAAATATTTTGTGAGCTAGCAATCAGGATGGATCCACTTCAGCACAGCCAAATTCCTCGGGATAAAAAGATGAGTGCTTTTCGAGCATTTCCAGAATATTTTAATGTGATTTAGATCATAATGGACACAGCCACTTCTCGATTGTATTGCATTCACGGTTCCCTCACTGAGGGGCAACTGTAATAAAACAGCAGATCTTCTCATCAGATGGTGGTTCATTGTGCCACCTGTGAAATAGAAATACGAAGTGAAAGAGGCTCAGGCACAGCTCCTTGAATGACAGCAATTGATAGGGTGCACAGAATTGGATTCATTCCGATTTGCCCTCTTGAAGCTCTCAGCAGAATGGGCAGGCTGGCGCTCTGTGGGATATGCACTGTCGAGACGTGTTTGTGTCTTCAAGGCTCTTTCCTTCCTTAATTCATGGATATTTATTGTAGTATTTGTGAATCAATGAATAAGTTGAGAATAATATGCCTGAACAAAAGTAGAGAATACCACCTGTGGCTTGACGATGGCTTTGCCTGGGGTATCTGAATCCAATGTCTTGATTAATCCTAGACTGTGACTGTGGGGTCTGCTGTGCGCATGGGGAACGTGCCTTTGGATTTTCATTGTTTACATGGGTTGAGTTACTATTAATGTCAATCAATTCACCAGCAAAAGACAAAAAGGGCTCTGCCTTATTCAGTTAGGAAAGGGGCCAATAAAGCAAAGATTACTGTTCATTTCTGTGAGAGGACTTAGCTAGCCCCTTTGCCATTGTTTGGTGTTGGTGCTGAGTCGCTCATAGCGTGACTTATTTTCAAATGTACCAATACTCTTACATAATGAAGTTATGCATTTAGTATAGTTATCAAACTAGTAACGCTGTATAAATAAACACATTCATTAACAGCTTAATACAATGAGCTGTTTTCCTAAGCACACTAAAAAGTATGTTGGTAAACAACACAATTAACAGACCCTCAAAGGCTAATTAATGACTAACCATTGCTCCAGGGGCCCGACAAAGCCTGAACCCTGTAAGGGAATGATTGTTGCAGGGCCTCCCACTCCTTTTCATCTGGAAAGAACAGTGCAACACAATAATATGGCTGGCTGAGAAACTTAATTGTTCTATTTTAAAATGGATTTGCGGGTCATTTTATAACAAATGAATGGACAAATAGAAACATCACTTAATGCTTTGGCACATTATCCTGAGGGTTGATGAACATGGTTGCTATTATTATAAGTCTCTAAAAGATTTTGCTTCATGCCTGAATCCATTATATAGGGGCATAAGAACTGTAGTGTATGCTTATAATCTAAATCCATCCTTGGCAGGCTGAGGCAGGAGCATTACTGCGAATTCCAGGCTCGCTTTAGCTACATCACAAGACCTTACCTCAAAGGTAATTTCAATTTATTTAATTTTAAAATTAAAAACTAAAAATGTAAGCAAACATACAATTAATTAATCCATTGACCAATTATCCCCACCCTCTTCAACTTCCCCAAGACAAAGACTAGGCACCTACTTTCTGAACTAGTTAATCAAACCCCACTCTTCAGATGAATCTAATGATAAACAGTGAAGTTCAAATTAGGTAAAAATATAATTAAGTTTCTCAACCATACTAGGCACTTCCCAAGCCATACGCCCATGGTGGCTACCACACTGAAGAGTGTTGTAGCCTGATAGACAGGGCTAGTGTCCAGATTGCAGACGGCAGCAAATCTGAAAAGGAACGGTGATCAGTGTGTGTTGTCTTCAGAATAAGACAATAGATAATATGTGGTTCTTCGCATTCTGGAATACATGAATCAGTAAATGCATCGATTGCATGACAGTGCAGCTCATTGGTCAGTTGCTAATGGAATATGAACCAATGCACCCCATTCTGTGAAAGTTTCTCTCCTAAAAGTTCTCTGACTTTGTGTTGCTTGATAGGCACATCCATCCTCCTCAACAATAGACAATTGCAAAGGTAGCCTATTCTTTGGTCAATGAGAAAAGTGCGAATTTTTTTGTGAGTATTTTAGTACGAAATTAATGGCTTTTAAAATGTTCTCAATCTAAATGGCTCATTGTTTTAAAACTTGGTAGCTGACACCACAGAAAGAAGAATCTAGGTGACTGAATTCCTCTTTGAGATGGGAGTTTGGCTGTTGCCACTATGCTTAAGACACTTTATGACTACATAACAATCAGTGAGTCTTGCCAATCAGGGCTGATTTCATTGAAGTGTTTATCTACAGACCAATGATATGAATGTATTATGAGACAATTGCTATGAGTCCAGTTGGCATATATTACTCACAAAACATTTTATTTGTGTACTGCAGTTTCCTTATAAGTTATCTGCTCATAACATCTCAGGCTGCATGTCCAATGGGGCTGCCACCATACACACAAGGCTGCTCATATCTAAAGTAATTAAAGTGAAGTGAAATGTAAAATTCAATTTCCCAGTTGCACTGTCCACAGTTCACGTACTTGGCAGCTACCTGAGGTTCTGGGGGGCTGTGTTGGAGATGCAGTTAGTAGCATGCTTGCATTATTCTGCAAAGTGCTATCAGAGGGTCCCTCATACTGTAGGATCACACAGAAGAGGAAAGAGGGACACACGTGAGGACTGTGAGGCAGGCTTGTGAGTTGATCCCCCCATAGTTCACTGAAGGCCCCTGGGAAAAGGTTAGGAAAGAGCTAAGCTAGGAGAAAAGAACCTACGAGGAGCCCTTGGGTCCTCACAAACTTATTGTTTCTGGCTATTTCTCTTAAATACATGAATATTTATTGCATTTGCTGCCAGTGAGATGATGAATGGGTCAATAAACAAAATTGTTTCTGAAAGAAAAAGAAAGAGGTCAAAGATTGCTTATGGATCAATGAGGAATACCCTGGAATGTCTGAGCAGAGGACTTTGATTAAGCCCTGTAACTCTGAGTTCCATTGCAAAAAAAAAAAAAAATCCCATTCATTAGCTCTTAAGGATATGCACTTAATCCAGAAATCAAAAATAGTACGGGTTGTACTCTTGGGTTTCTGTGCATTAAAGCAGTGTGTAAGTCAACCGAGGACTCTATAAATGAACACACACAAAAACATGGGTTGTTTCTCTTCCAAACGTGTGAGTGCTTATCGCGATAGGAATCATTACTAATGTATTTATGAGGCTCTGAGCTCTAGGAACGCATCGATTAAGGCCGATGCTGCAAGACAAGGAATACCTGGATAAATGTTTGTTCTTTTCTGATATGTTGTGCGGTTTTTTTTAATTAAGGAAAGGACAAAATATTTAATTTGATGATTCACTAAATGAAATCCCAGTCGAAGAGGGCTCACCCATGAGTCTAGGCTGACAGCATGCCCCAGGTGAACGCCTGGGATTTCTGGTGAACTATTTACTGCATTTCAATTCCATTCCTCTGTTTAATTAAACAATTAAATTACTGAACATGCAATATTATCTGATGCTAGTATTGTCCGATGGCTCTGAACTGACAGCAGTAAGAGCACTATCAAACATAGCCTAGGGATATTAGTATCTCAATTAATGAGGCCTAAGTGTAGGCCAGGGAGGACCTTTTGTTATAAAATACCACTCATGATTAGTCTGGTCCCGATTCTCTAGAGAAGGCAAGTAAACCCAGGCCTCACGTTTTTTTGCCATAGTAATCATATTTATTTGTTTAGACACACTATAGAATTATACAGCTTCTGTCCATCTCCTTGAAGTTGCAGGGATAAAAAAATTCCATATGCATCCAGATGACTCTGCATATTTCCTTTTGACAGCTGCAGAGACCGAGTCAGGATCTCTTTCCTTCTCCATTGCTTCCCTCACTAGGTTTTCCTCTCCCATAGTGAGCAGGGGATGTGTAGCAGACAGACACATGGGCAGTCTTGGTGCATTGTAGGTCTTAGCTTTCATACTTAAAGGAAAGAAAAGTTGACATTAATTTCTTAAAATTTCATTATAAATATGTTACAAAAATTATTACTCGCTGAAATGAACCAGACCCAAAGACTTACATTTTATTAAGTGAAAATACATAGATTCACAAACATCTAAACATCTACAGGAAAAATTTCGCTAAGCGTACATAAGCTAAGTCGTTACATTTTCATCATCCACAGTGCTCATCCCTCAGAAGCAATGGCTTTGGTCTGCTTTAAGCACTGGACCCCGCTCACAAACCCTACACTTTTTCTCGATTTACACGAAGACCACAAAACCTGTGTGAGTAATATTTAAAAGTATTGTTTTTCTCAATAGGATGCTCTGTTTTATTATAGAGTATCAGTGATATCTGAGCAAATGATCTGGTTGTTCTGAAGAAGAAAACACAGCCATAGGCACACATTACTAGAGAAGAAGAAGGCTAACACGGACCGATGATGACAAGGGTCAGCACTATAAGTCACTGACGATGACTATAATTTTTCTGTCTGAGGTTCACAAAACAACACATCTCAGGTGCTCCCTCCGTTAGCCAGGGGATGGAAGTTAGGCCTGTGGAGTACGCACTGTGCATCAGAATCAGGCACTTTTAGGCATCTTCTTTTCTCAGTGGATCAATGAAACACGATACAAATATATACAAAAATGCAAATGTAAATGAACATTTTGAGACATCAATTAGAAAATAAATATTTGACTACAAATTCTGCTACGACATGGAGAAAACACAGAAGCCAGTTAAGATTAATGGCATAAAGATTATATAAAATGTATCCAAGTTCACATACGAAGTGTAATTAATGGGTTAGGCTCCAGTATGGGATAACACCTTAATTTTAATTTTGAGTCTTACTTGATTTCTCCAGACAACATCCTAACAACCTGAATCCTAAATAACAAATATTGAAAGGAGAAATGTAGACATAATTTGAAAAATATCAAATCTTTTTATTTTTTTTTCCGGCGTTGTACTCTCTGGATGGCTGATGACTGACCCATTGTTTCCTGGCTGGGAGGTCCATGGTTTTCCTAGCCTCACGTTTAACGATCAAGGGAACTGACGTAAGTGGAGGCAAAGTTCTTCTTTTGCTTTGGGTGGCCTTGATAAAATGCTCCTGTCTTAGTAAAGGCATGCATAGGTTCCCGTTAGGCATCTGTAACTGTGTTCTCAATTAAATATGACCATGAACACAGTGTTGAGGATTTCCAAAGTTAAGAGAAAAGACAGAGTCAGGGTGGCATAGATCTGTTGAATATATATAGCTTTAATCCATCAGGAGTTTGTGATGAATAGTCGGTGACATGGCTAGTCACATAAGTAATACAAATGTAGAGAGTGAAGGAGAAAGAAAAGGGTGGTGTTGGATCAATGATGAGCACCGATAATGTATGATCTGGGGATCATGATTACAGGTCTGGGAGTCTGAGGTCCACACCAGAACACGTGTAGATGAACTGTTAGAAAATGTTAGATATGGTATAGCGTGTTATCATAATATTTGTGTTCATGAGTTTTTCCATATTTGTAATTAGAGTAAAATATAATAAATGAGAGGGCAAGGCAGTCTCCAAAAGTAATACTGAGTATTAATATTAGCAGTCTGTTAGTAAATGTGCTGTTAACATATTCATGAACACAGGAGCTTATGAAGACAGGATGCCTGAGGATTCCACAGGAAGTAAAATGATAAGAACCTTCTTTGTATTGTCAGAGCAATGTCCAGTGTTTCTGTCCTTAGTAGATCATATGACAGTGTCCTACAGATTTAGGTGAGTGATTGAGATATTGAGATTGCATACAAGCGAGTGCATGAGGGAGTGAACAAAATGTCCTTTTTGTTTGTTTTAATGATCTCTTCTGTCTTGTACTCTCAGAATGGATTCCGCCCCCACGCGGATTTTCACTCTCCCTCATTCATGAGCTTCATAACGAGCTGTTTTAGACTGTAACACAGACAGTGTGAGTACTGTTTGTCTTCCGATGTTGTCTTCTTGATGCTTTAAAGGCCATTTACTGTATTAAAAAGACCAGCCATGGCCAATGCTGAATGTATTTGAAACACAAGATTTGATAAATTCTTGTCCAATTAAGGATATGTAATGAAAACAGTCCTTTTAATTATACCTGAGGATCTTGTACTTAGTTTTTTTGTGAGTTATAATTGCCTCAGTAGTACTAGTTATCAATTGTTCAATCAATGTGCCTAAATTAATAGAGGAGGGCTGATGTTGGATCAATGATGACCGCGGGTGCTGTATGAGTCGTGGATGGTGACTACAGGTCTGGAAGTCTGAGGTTCACATCAGAAAATTTCTGTGATCTTAGTGATGTATGTAAGGGATAGCCTATTTTATCAATAGATGAGTATAAATGTTATTGTAACATGATACAATAATATAAAATAATAATATAAACAAATATTAGTAACTCTTTTTTCAATCAATTCCACAAAGGAACAACCTATATATGCTACATACATTCATATATTTATCAGCGATGACTCTGGTGTCAAATAAAGTAAAATTGTATTAGTGTTTTTTGGTAAGTCACAGCTATGACCATTTGTTTTCATAAGAAGAAAACCGCATAGAGTAATGTTGATCTTTTTATAACCTCTTCTGTTCTGTTCTATACTTTCAGAATGGATACCCTGCAAGCTGTTTTATACAGTCTAACTTGAAACGGAACCTCGTGATCCAGCCTCTGTGTTCGCAGGAAAGACACCGTGTGGGTATCCTCAGTGTCCATGTCTTGGTTCATATTGCTCATAGATTGCTCATTGTATTTATGGAACACTGCTATAATATGGAGAAACAATCTTGGCAAAATTGTAACCATGGCAAGTGTATGAAATATAATGTTTAACAAAATATTGCCAAATTAAAATTATATTAATCTTAATTTATTTACTCAGCAGGATAAACCTTCCTGCAGAGGTCTGAATTATACTCAAGGACCTTGCCATTAGATTTTGGTGATCATAACTATCTTAATATTCTGAGTAATTACTCAAAAACACATAGAACTTAACAGAGTAGGTGAGGGCTCATGGTGGATCAATGATGACCGGATGTGGTAAATGATTCTCGTATCATGACTACAGATCTGGGAGTCTGAGGTTCACATAGCAATAGCTAGCTTGTACCACAGTCATTGGCAGCAATTATGGCAATTATGAGTGCTCGTCTTGTCTTATGCTTAGTTTAAAACATATTTTGTAGCATGTATTCCAATTAAGGTGTAACTTCACAAGAAGAGTCCTAATAATATACCGCAATATATGACTAAGGATGCCATCTGAACAATAATTAAAGCCATTTGCTTTCTCAAGGAGACATAGTAGTCTAATACGTACTTTGATGTAGAGTACTAGGAAAGAGACAAGACAGGCAAGTGAAGGGCGTGGATGAGTGAACTGCAGAACCTCATTAAATACTTAGTATAAACTCATTATCTCAGTGACAGGTATTAGGAATAATCTACATTAACAGTTACATAAAATATAAATACAATTTCTGTCATTTTATAATCAAGACTTAATTGCATGAGTGTATTAAAATATATACCCAAAATAATCCCTCATTCAGATGAGACGGCTGAGTTCATTGCATGAATTAAAATTATAGGCGATGATCCGGCTAGAGTCAGAGGCACAGCCCTTTGTTTTCTCAATATGAACGTACAGTAGTGCGGGGCATATGTAAATGAGCCATAAGAGGAGAGGAGTAAGACCAGCGCGCAGAGAACATGGATGAGTGAGCAGAATGCCAATATATTTACATTTCCGGCTTTATATGCTCAGAATAGTTCTCCCCGAATTGATTTGCAAATTCTCACTTTGATGTGAGCTTCATGTTCAGCCCTTTTTGGATTCATAGTATAGACACAGTATGAATATAGTCAACATTCCTGTGTTGGTTCATGTCGCTTTTAGTGACTGCATATTTTGATTAAAGACTCACTTATTGTTTAATAAGAATCACCATCACCAAAGGGTTAATATACCCTATGAGGGAGACACCGTGTTCATTTTTTCCAGATTAAGAGTGCATAATAAAATAGACACTAATCATGGCGAAAGAGCCTTGGAAACTCTGAAGTATACTTAAGAGTCTTGTCCTTGGATTTTTGTGATGTATAATTATCTCAGTAGCATTAGTGGCCAATAGCCTGTAAATCAATAGAGAAAGAGATTAATGGTGACTGCTATTGCTGTATCAGTTGCTGATTGTGCCTGCAGGTCTGGGAGGCAGAGGTCCATAGCATAAAATTCCTACTTCATACCCATTATCTTAGTTTTCTTTTATAATTAGATAAAATATTAATGAAAATAAATGAGGAAATATTTTTTAAATCAATACATAATTTTACAAGAATAGTACTAAAATGTTAGATCAAACAGTTCTTTTGGATTTGATGGCTGAGAATACCATGCTACATCAACTAAAACCATAGGCTATGTTCTTGGTAGGGTCAGTGCCATGACTGTATTAACTGTATACATATAGAAAGCATAAGGAGAGTGGAAATTTAAAGTCGGCATATTGCGTGGAGAAGAATAGTGAATGCCAATCTTTTTTTTATGTTCTCTTCTTCTGTGTACTCTTAGAATGGCTGCCCTAAGCTGATGTATAAATTCTTCCTTGCTCGTGAGATTCCTGCTCTAATCCTTGTAGCCCGAAGAGAGATACATTTGCATGTAGTTAGTGTTCATGCCTCCAACTTGGTACTTTTAAAGACTATGCACACTATTGTTGAAAGACTACTCGTCCACTGGAAGACCGACTATGTCCAAACGGTAAATAAAGTTTCTATGTAAAATAGTGTGTTTAGCAACGTTTTTCCAAATCAAGATTTTAAAATCAAACAAATGCCCAACAAGGTAAAAGATCCTGTAAATGTTTGATGTTTGCTCAAGGACATTTTCCTGATTTATAATTGATCAATTGCTCACTAACAATATAGATATAAATAGAGGAGGAGAGGGCTGATGTTGGATCTATGATGACAGTGGGTGGCATATGATTCGTGGATCATGAATACAGGTCTGGAGTCTGAGGTCCACATCCTAAAATAATTAGAGTATGTCCCAGATCTCAGCAGCAGATATGAGTGATAGTCTACTTTCATAAGTATATACAAAATAAATAAGCTGGTAAAGCATTCTTAAATTTGACATGGTTCCACAGGACAAGTAGTAATCATATATACTAAATCAACCCAGTTTTTCTGACAGAGCCTTTGAGATGCCTTATGAACTATAAGTAAAGTCAATGTTCTTGGTCGGGTCAGAACCATTGCCATTTGTTTTGTCAATAAGAACAAGACATAGTGTAATGTAGACTCCGATGAGAGTTAGAAAGAAAGAGGAAAGACCTGCAGATAGAATGCATGGATGGGTGAACCGAATTCCAACCATGTTTCATTTTCTTCTGCTTTGTACTCCTAGAATGGAGCCACCAGGCTGATCTTTGGTCATGAGCAATATAGACACAGTGTAAGTACAGTCAATGTTCTTCTCTTAGTACTATTCTTTCATCAATTGCTCAATAAAATGCATAAATACAGAAGACAAGGGTTGATGTTGGGCCAATGATGAACAACTTTGCCGATTGAGCCGTGGATCATGATTACGGATGGGTCTAAGATTCTGAGTTCCACATCATACCCACTTGTCTTTGTCAGAAGTAATGAGTGATAGTCTACTTTAATAAATTGGCAAAAATGTAAATTAAAGTAAATTGTCAAGGCACTTTCCAGTTAAAACATAACCCCACAGGAAGTGTATAAAATATATTCAAAATACAATACTTTATTCAGTCAGCATGATTGAGGTAGCCGCATGAGGTAAAATCATAGGCAATGTTGACAGTCAGCTTAAAGCCTGGTGTAATGTTTGTTTTCCCATGAAGAACGCATCATACTGCCGTACATAATTATATGAGTGATAAGAGACAGGTACAGCAAGTAAACAGTGCATGGATGAGCGAACAGCATGCCAATCTTTTCATATTCTCTTCTGCTTTGTACTCTCAGGATGGATTTCTCCCCAAAGATGATTCACACCTTCTTTGGTGATCTTCATGGTCAGCTCTTTGGGTTCATAATATAGACACAGTGTGAGTACATTCTTACATTCATTCTCCTCATGATGGCTTTTTATTGCTTTTAATGTCTGTGCCTGTATTGATAAAGGTCTCCTTATCATCGTGGAAGAGCCATTGTGGCCAACATGTTCATCTAGCTTGTGCATGAAACCCATTGTTTCAAAAATGTTATCAAATTAAAAAGTGTAATGAAAGAGACACTCATATCAAAAGATCCCAAGGTGCTTTGAAATATGCTTAAGGATCTTGTCTTTAGATTTTTGTGATACACAGACATCTTTATAATACCAGTGATTGATTGCTCAATAAACATCAGTTAACACAAACAGGAGCACTAATGTAGGATCAATGATGACCAGGTGGCATATGACTTGTGTACCATGACTGCAGGTCTGGGGAGTCTGAGGTCCACCTCACATAATACCTAATATATGCCCATGATCTTAATGATATTAATAATAACCTACTTTTTCAATCAGACAAAATATCAATAAAAGTAAATATAGGTCAAGCATGGTGGCTCATGTCTTTAATAACGTTATTCAGGAGGCAGAGAAAGGTAGATCTCTGGACAGCTGGGGATACACATTGAAATATAGCCCCTACTCCATGAAAAAAAAAAGTAATTTTCTTTTTTTTTCCTTTATTGGGACTTGGTTTCTCTATGTAGCCTTGGCTGATTGCTGATTTGTAATTATCTCAATAGTACTAACAATCAATTTCTCTATAAAATGCACAAATTAATTGAGAAGAAGAGGGCCAGGGTTGGATCTGTGATTACCACTGGTGCCATATGAGTCATGGATCATAACAAGAGGTCTGGGAGTCTGGGGTCCACATCATAAACGACCTAGTTTATATCCATGATCCTACTGACAGTTGTTAAGGAGATTCTATATTTATAACTTGCACAGCTGGAGTACTACTTAAAGCATATACTTAACTCGGTATTTCATTTGGACATGATGACTGGGGATACCCAGTGAGTTAAAATTGTAGGCAATGTCTCTCTCTCTCTCTCTCTCTCTCTCTCTCTCTCTCTCTCTCTCTCTCTTTCTTTCTTTCTTTTTTGCTTCAGACTCTTGGCCAATTCTTTTTTCTAGAAGAACACATGATAGTGGATTGATATACATAGGGATAAACAGAGAGGGGTAATGGAAGTAGATAGATTGCATTGGTATGTAGTCAGAACATCAATTTATTGTGTGTTCTCTTTTGTCTTGTGCTCTCAGAACAGATACCCCAAAGCTGATTTTAGACATTCGTCCTCTGTTACCAGCTTCTTGATCTGCTGTTTGTTCGTGGCATAGATACAGTGTGAGTATAGTCAATATTCACGTCTTTGTTCCGATACTTTACCAGCTATTTATTGTATTGATGAAATATGTGCTTCTTGTCATCCACAAGTGCAACCATGGCCCAATTGTCAGTATGGCGTATGGGTCTAAGGCGATAGTTAAAATTTTTTGCTCAACTAAGTTTGTGCAACCAAAGGGATCACCAATGTGCCAGATATGCTGACTAGTCCTGAAGTATAGTCAGGGATCTCGTCTTGGATGTTTGTTGTTAATGATCATTTCCAAAGTTATAATTAGCCATCATTACACAAACATCCAGAAATTAATAGACAGGAGGAGGGATGATGTTGGATCAATGATGACCGTGGGTAGCTTCTGAGTCGGACTGTGACTACAAGTCTGTGTCTGAGGTCCACATCATAAATTATCTAGCTTGGGGGCTGGAGAGATGGCTCAGAGGTTAAGAGCACTAGCTGCTCTTCTAGAGGTCCTGAGTTCAATTCCCAGCAACCATATGGTGGCTCACAACCATCTGTAATGAGATCTGGCACTGTATCCTGGAAAGTTTATATATAATAAATCAATAAATTAAAAAAAATCTAGCTTATACCCACGACTATGGTAGCAGAAGTATACGATAACCTACTCTTACACTTAATAAAAATACGAACAAAATTAACTGTTTATACTAAATATTTTTATTACATTAAAAAAATTGAATTATATCATCTTTTCTTTTTTTCTCTCTCATCTCATATACCCCTCATTAGTCTGACTCAAATTTATGCTGTTGTATGTGCGCATGTGTGTGCGCACATGCACAGACACACACACACAAACACACACATATTCCTTAATATAATCTGCTCAGTTTATATATAACATTTCCCATATATATGTTTTCAGGGCTGACCCTTTGGTATTGGTTAACCAATTGGTTTGCTCTTCCATGAAGACTATTGCTTCCAATTTCAGAATTTTTTAATTGCCTTTAATTGTGTAGGACTGAGGCCTTGTGGGCTTTACCCAACCACTGTGGCATGCCTATTAGACATCCTTCAATTAGACAGAATTCCATAGGAAGAGTACTGCTGAGGTATACTGAATGTAATAGTTTATTCATGCAGCGAGTCTGAGGATACCGCATGAATTAAAACTATGTTCTTGGTAGGGTTACAGCCAGGTCTAATTCCCCCCATGAAGAACTCATCTCATTGTCACGCATAATTATATGAGTGATAAGAGATGGGTAAGGCAAGTAGCATAGTGCATGGATGAGTGAACAGAATGTCAATCTTTCTATATTCTCTTCTGATTTGTACTCTCAGGATGGATTTCCACCCAAAGATGATTTACACCTTCTGCTTTCATTATGATCTTCATGGTCAGCTCTTTGGGTTCGTAATATAGACACAGTGTGAGTACAATCAGTTCTTATATTGGATTGTGTTGCTTATAATGGCTGTTCTTGTATTGATAAAATACTCTAAGATCCTGGAAAAGCATCTAGGTCCAACAGAGAAAATTTGGCATGTGCATCATGCACAATGTTTAAAAAATGATTAAATTAAGAATGTACAATGAACCTAGATCCTCAGCATGTCTAAAGAGTCTGAGGAACATTCAAATAAAGTCATAGATCTTGTCCTGATATACTTATGATTCATAATATCTTAACAGTAAACTGCTCAACAAACATGCGTAAATTATTCAAGGAAAGGAGGGCTGATGCTGGATCTGTGATGACAACTTGTGCCGTATGAGTCGTGGATCATGACTACAGGTCTGAGAGTCTGAGGTCCACATCATAAAATAGCTACCTTATACCCATGATCATAGCTGCAGTTATGAATGATTTCCTACATTTGATTAGATGAAAAATACCTGCATAAGGCTTTACCAAATAAGTCATAGCTCCACAATAAGAGTTCTAATTATATATACAAAAACAAAGTAATTTCTTCTGTCAGTATGTTTAACCGGTGCCATGTAAACTAAGATGATAGCCAGTGTTCATGGTAGTGTCTACGCCATACTTGCCTGTTTCCTCAAAGAATAACAAATGGTGGTTATTTATAATAATAACAACAGTGCACATGGATGAGGATGAGATGAAAAGGGCAAGAGAAGCAGATAGATTGCACGAATTGTCTAATAAAATGCAGTAAAGACAATGTTCTTCTTTTACACCATGTTCTGAGTTGTAGTCATAGAATGGATACCCCCACGGCAATTTATACGTCCTACATTGGGCCTGAGCTTTGATGAGCATGTGGAGTTTGTAATGTAGACAATGTGGATATTGTCAATGTGGATATTGTCAGTGTTCTTATATTGTTTTGGGTTACTTTGAAAGCCTATTTCCTTTACTGATAAAGGACTACTTATTATCTGGGAAGAACAAGTAAGACCAATATTTAAAAAGATTTTGCTAAATTAAACTGTGTAATGAAATGGGTACTCAGCTTAGCAAAGATCTTGAGGAACTCTTAAGTATTTTTAAGGATCTTGTCCTTAAATTTTTGTGAACATAATTGTCTTGATAGTACTAGCAATCAATTGCTCAATAAATGTGCCTAAATTATTAATGGTGGCCAATGGTATTATATGATATGTGGATCATGACTGTAGGTTTAGATGCCTGAGGTCTACATAAAAAAAAATATCTAGCATCATACCATGATCCTGGCAGGAGACATGAGAAATAGTCTACTTTTATAGTTAAATAAATAAAATAAATTTTTAATGAATTTTCTAAGTAAGGCCTAACTCAACATTAAGAGTGCTAATGTATTCCCAACACAGTGGTTCCTCCAGAGCAGATGACTGCGGATAGCATATGAATTAACACTACAGGAAATGCCCTTGGTAGTGTAAGAGTCAATTCTTTGTTTTCTCATGGAGAACACATCCTAATGTCACGCATACATCAATATGTAGGACCAAGAGAGCAGTACTGAAAGTAGGGAGGCTACCTGGGTAGGAAGATGGACTGTCAATCTATTTATGATCTCCCTTCCTTTTTTCAGAATGGATGTCATTGAGCTGATTTTACATTCTCCCTCTGTCATGAGTATTGTGATCAACTCTATTGATTGATAACATTGTCACAGTGTGAGTACGGTCTGTGTTCTCGTGTTGATTTGGGTTTCCTCAAAGGCTGTTCTCTGCATTGATAAAGACTATCATCTCCAATGAAGAGCTCTTGACAAATCGTAGCACAGAATAGATTTTTAAAAGTTTGACAGTTTAAGAAGGTGAACATGGACGTGGGGAGGACCTTAGACTTTCCACAGGGCAGGGAACCCTGACTGTTCTTTGGATTGGAGAGGGAGGGGGAGAAGAGTGGGGGAGGGGGAGAAAGGTGGGAGGAGGGGGAGGGAAATGGGAGGCTGGGAGGAGGCGGAAACTTTTCCTTTTCTCAATAAAAAAAAAAGCAAAAAAAAGTTTGACACTTTGCAGTATGTAACAAAAGAAAGAGCCATGATTGCAAAAGATCCTATAGGGCTCGAATGTATGTATCATGATCATGTCCTTTACATAGTTATGATTCATAATTATATTAACTGTAGCCCTGATCAATTGCTCAATAAACAAACATAAATTACAAGAAGAGGAGGTATGGTGTTGGATCTGTGATGACCATTGGTGCCGTATGAGTCGTGGATCATGACTACAGGTCTGGGAGTCTGAGGTCCACATCATAAAAGAGCTAGCACCTACCGATTTTTGTGACAATCTTAGGAATTGTCTATTTTTAAAATTATATAAAATACTAATAAGTATAAATTAGAAGGCATCTTATACTCGTACTTCTATAGGAGTGCTGAAACTATATACCAAACACAGTTGTTCCTTTAGACATGAGTGAGGATGCCATATTAAATTAAATTATATGCAGTGTTCTTAGAGTTATACCCATAACCCTTTGTTTTATCAAGAAAGAATGTATAGTTTTGTAATGCACATTTAGACGATAAGAAGAAAGGGACATGGAGAAGTGAATAGAATCTTAATCTTTTTATGATCTATTTTGCTTTGTACTCTCAGAGATGAATATACTACAGCTGACTTCTACATTCATCCTTCATTATGAGGCCCGTGATCTGCTCTCTGTTCATATGATAGATGCTGTGTGAGTATGGCCAGTGTTCACGTTTTCATTTGGGTTACTTTTAATACTAGTTACTTTTAATGAATCATTGCTTGCCAAATGGTTAACATGCCCTGTGAATGAAACAACACTTTTTTTAAAACCAAAGTAAGCGTATGTATGAGTTTTGTGATCAACTCTTTTGATTCGTAATATTTCAAAAGAAATATTCAGTAGAGCAAACTATGTATTGTTTACGTTCTCAGTAGTACTAGTTACCTATAATTCAATAAACATAAAATAAAAATTAATAGAGAAGGGCCAGACTGACGACCATTGGTGTCATATGAGTTGTGGATCATCACTACAGCTCTGAATATCTTAGATCCAGATTGCGAAGTATATAGTTTATACTTGTTATCCTAGCATCAGCTGTGAGGGATGCTGTGCCTTAATAATTGGATATAAATATAAATAAAATAAATCAGCACAGCATATTTAAATTAAGGTTCAGTTATTTACAAGAATGTGGATAATATGCAACAAGCCAAAAATTTATTTCAGATATGATGAATTAGGATACCACATGAAGTAAAATTACAGATAATGATTTTGGCACGGCCAAAGCCATATCCAGTGTATTTTTAAAACAACAGATCATAATGGGACACATACTTAAATGGCTGAGAAGAAGGGTGGTGTATACGCAAGCAATGTATTTGAATGAGTAAGCAGAACATTGGTGTTTTTATATTCCTGTGTTTTTATATATGGATAACCATAGGCAATTTCCAGTTCTTGGTCATGAACTTTGTGGTCTTGTCTTTGTAGAACAGACATGGTGTGAGCATGGTGAGTGTTCTTGTTTTGGTCTGAGTGTTTTTTCAAGCTGTTCTTTATTTTGCGCTCAGCACTTGTTAGCTGGGTAAAGCGCCATCATTGATCCAACATCAACCCTCCTCTTTACTAATCTACATTGATCGTTGGTACTATTGAGGTAATTTTGAATCATAAAGAAATCTGAGGACAAGATCATTGATTATACTTTAAACCTTTATGGGATCATGACCATATGTCTGGAAGGCTGAGATCCACATTGTGATATGGGTAAAGTCAGTCATGTTAAAGGGTCCTGTTTTTCAACTCATTCTTTCATTGACAATACTATTTTTCATGTTCATGACTTTTCTTTTCTTTTTTTTCTAATTGGATCAATGAATAAGTTATAACAAGATTATTCATAATTATAGTTAGATTGAGAAGTATTTCCCACATATAAGAATGATGCTGTTTATGAATTCAAAAACACTGTAATTCTATTAATCCATAAAAAGACCAAAGTTTTATATTTCTGGCTAAAATAGTAAATAAGGAACTTATTCTTTTAGGGTCAAGGCTATGTTCAATGCTATTTATTTTCCCCCAAAATAAATGTAACTATATTCTGTTTGTTCCAAAATGACCAATAAAATGAGATCAAAAACCAATAATAACACTGATTTAGTGATATCCCTGTGGTCCCAAAGGCTAAGACCAGAGGACTGGGATTTCAAGGCCAGTTTGTTTGTTACAGCAAGAAATAATAATGATATTTAAAATAATGGTAGTTAATTCAGAGATAAATGACTCTGAGGTATTCTAATCATGGCTTAGAATGAGAACACAAGGAAACTTTTCCCCTCCATGGGTCCAGTGGATTTCTCAAGAGAAAGTACCGTCACACACCAGTTACCTTTTGTTTGTTTTTATTTTTGGCCCTTGATACTTTCTTTTTTAATTGAGATTAGGTTTTTTTCATACCATATATTCTGATCATGGTTCCCCTCCCTTATCTCCTCACTGATCCTCTCTACCTCCAGACCCACCCAACACATTCTCTTCTTTCTCTCCATCTCTTTAGAAAACAAACAAGCAAATAGCAACAACAGCAAAAAGTGGACAAACCAGAATAGAACACAGCAAAAAAAAACATTAGAAAAACCAAAGAAAGAAAAGCTAATGAAGGACATTCACATGCAGGGACAAACATGCACATAGAAAACCCATAAAAACCGAATTGGAAATTACAATATATAAATAAAACACTGATAAGGTTCAAATTAAAATGCGCAGACAAAGCATTATGGGATTAAAAATCTCTAAAATATATCTGTTAGTCATCTCCGAGTTGGTCTTTCTTGAATGACTAATGACTGAAAGATAAAATACAAATGAATATGGACACAATAGGATTCCATTCATATTTTGTTTTATTTTATACTCTCAGAATAGACGCCTTCATCACTGGTCACCGGGTTCATGCATCATAGGGACCCACGTGAGTCAAAGTTTTTGTCTTCGTTTTAATTCTTTGCCCTGTTTTCATAAAGAAACCCAAGGACCCATGGCCCAGTGAGAAATATCATGAAATACTTGGTTGACTAACTAACCAGTCCTTTGAAATTAAGATTGATATAGTCACTGAGTAGCCTAGAGATAGCTGGTTTTCATGATTCATAATTATATAATTTTCATTAGTGAATGAATCACCAGCTAGTAAACAAGAGAACAAGAGAAACTAGAGGCCAAGGTTGGATCAGTGATGACATCTTGTTGGGTATGAGCCGTGGATCATGACAACAGGTCTGGAAGTCTGAGTTCCATACCTTCGGGCATCTAGTGTGTATGTTCTGATTCTAATGGCACTGCTTAGGGATGGTGAAGTATGTCATTCATCTTTCAAATTTTCATTTTGTTCTTAAAATTGGGTTAATTATAGAATCCTTGTGCAAATATATAAATAAAAAGTAAGCAGCTCAAGCATGAGTACCATGCTAGTTGAGAAATAGTACAAGCATGGGCACCATGCTTGTTTCAAAATGAATGACATAGTGATGTACTATGTAAGAGCAATACACTTAGTTACAATAATGAGCCTTCGTTTTGTTTGGGGCTTGGGTATTCATTATTGTTTCATCAAGTAAACCAAACTGTGACAGTTTAGGTCCTACCCAAGTGACTTAAAAATGGAATACAAAATGAAAGAATAAAGGATAGAATATAATTTTTTTGCAATTATTCTTCTTTGCACTGTCAGCATAGATGCTTTCTGACTGATGTTCACATTCTGGTCAACGAGTCGACAGTTACCCTACATGTCAGGAAGACAGAGACCAATGTGAGTACAGTAAAATCCCTGGATTCGGTTGGGGGGGTTCTTTATACTATTGGTAAAAGCATCATCCAACATCCACTAAGGCCAACTATGGCTGACTGAGAAATAACTCTGGCTATCAAACATTATGCCAGTTAATCAACACTTAACACTTTGTGCTTCAGAGTCACATAAAAGTTACTGATAAAATAACAGATTAATTAATAAACAAATGTAGAAATTAATTGAAAAGGAAAGGTCCTATTTTGGGTCAGTGATGACCACTGGTAGCCTGTAAGTCACACATCCTGATTACAGTTCTGGAAGGCTGAGGTCCACACACTGACTCTTAGAAGTGGTCCTCTCCACACATGTGAGAACAGAGGACACATATGTCCTTGCTGTTCGTGTTAATGGTTTTGGTTATATTGCAAATAGATCCATGAAAAATCAATAGATTCATAAGATACAATTATAAGTAATGGGGCATCACACTTCTTAAAATTATTGAATGAGGATATAGTCATTACTACTATATATTGGAAGTATTAATATTTCATTAGTAGCTGTTATATATCCCTTCTCTCTGACGTGGATTGTAGAAGCACAGGCCAATGTTCTGGTTTTGAGTTCGTAGGAAATTCAGTGCTATTTCGCTTCCCAAGAGAAAGCACGCACGACTAGGTAACTGGATGATAAATTGAGTGAGCAGAACAACTTCTCAGTCCTTTCTTGTCTGTCCTTCTCAGAAAGGCCAAATCCAGAACAATGGGTGGATTCTGCCTGGTCCTCACCTCCAAGGTTGCCTGTGTTGTTAGGGTCATGGCTACAATCGTGAGTAATGATTCCGTCATCTATTAAATGTTTTCCTAGAGGATGTTCCATGTAGAGATATGATGTGCTTACACTTAAATGCTTTCCTAGAGTATATTCCATGTAGAGATCTGAGGTGCCTACAATGGTCAGTAAAAGGCAGTTGTCATTAACCATAAATATAGAATCATAGAATTTTTTCAAGGTTTGACCTGAACCAATAAAAAATACCTTGTTACCACCACTTTATATATGGTGAATACCAGATGTTAAATACCAGATGTTAAAATCAAAGGAAACTTGAGGTACTACCTCTGTTGATAATACTCCTGTAGTGAGTTGGTGAAAAGATTCATGGGTATATTCATGTGCTTTTATACTATTTTTGTAATTTGTATTAACATTAGTAAAAGGGTCAATAAACAATTGTCAGTATTAAAAGTAAAGCATCATGCAATTACGAAAATGTCATGAAGGAAGACAATCTATAGTCACAAATTAACAACACTGAAATAAGTTAAGGGTAACATAGGGGCAAGTGCAGTTGCTAGTTCAGTGGTATAGCACCCTCACCTGGGTTCTATCTTCAACACCACAAAAACAAATAGATACGACCTTTAAGAATATTACTTTTTTGGCTGATAATTAAATTATGAATATGAATAGACAAATGAACAATAGTGATGCACACGCATGCGCAGTCATTTCTGGTTAGGAAAGCTAATGTTTATCTGGGTGATGGAGAAAACTGAGCAAGGACAGTGAGTGCATGCCACCATAGTTTCACGCCACCTTTTGGCTTTGTACCCCTACTCATCAATGTGACAAAGATGGTGGCAGATGCCTCTGATTGTCACATTGAAACTAGTTAGAGCAGTAATGTCTCATTTGCCTGAACATGCTGTTTTAAAAAGTATTCCCTCTAGTGTTGGAACACTCAATTCTAACTGAGATGTCTCCATCAAATCCCTCCCTTCAGGGATCAGGGAACCCTATGGAAGAGGAGGTGCAAGGATTGTAAGGCCCAATGAGAATGGAGGACACCAAGGAAACGAGGCCTTCTAGATACAGTAGGACCGATGCAGATCTGAACTCATAGAGACTGTGACAGTGTGCATGGGGCCTGCACAGGTCTAAGCCAGATGGGGTCCCAGCACTGAAAGGGGCAGTGGACACAAGCCCCCATCCCTAACTCGGAAGCTATCTCCACTCGATAGACTCGCTCAGAGGAAAAACTCTTTTTCTCCAATGGAATCTCCCTGGATACATAGACCACTCCTAAGAGCAGGCTCCATGCTCAGATGACCAATACAAAATGAACTCGATGGCATTTTTGGAAGACCTTGTGACACATATTGCTTTGTCTGGGTATTTTTTCTTACCCAACAGACATTTTGCTTGTATATTGAGGTTTCTGGTATTAGTTTTTATGAGTTTTATATGTCTGTGATTGTATGCGTCTCAGAGCCTGTATTTGTTTCTGGTGATTTTACATAGGCTCTTTTTTTTTTTTTTGGCTTATTCTGTTTTGTTTGCCTTTATATTTCCTCCTCCTTAGTTTAGGAGGAAATGTAATGAGTTTAGGAGGAAATGTAATGAGACAATAGAATAATTAGTGGGAATTTGGGTGGGTGTGTAAATAGGGAGGAGATGGGAGGTGTTGGGGGATGGGAAACCATAATACAAATATATTGTATGAAAAAGTATATTGTCAATAAAAGCATTTCTTCTATCCCTAAAAAAAGTGTGAAGTACAGTTATTGAAATTGGATGGATGGATCACTGGAAATGTAAACAAATAATATGAGTGAATGGATCCTCACATCACAAGATAAAAGATGTTGAGAATACTGATGTCCCTGTGGGATGTGGTTAGACCTGACCCTAAGGTATTACATGTATGTATGAATATTAACTAAAATATCTTTTAAAAGAAAGGTAGAAGCAATTATTTTGCTATTAGAAGAAAATTAAAATATTAAAGTGTTGTCTTTTGGGCTATGAAAAGTTGAGAGTATACATACATGTATGTCTCTATCCACATGGGGAGGAAGCTCAGTCAGTGGGACAGGCCTTTGCCAATTATTCACAAGGTCTTGGTTCTCTCTCCAGTACTAAAAAAGAAAGTGGCCAATGATCCAAGTAGACCTTCTTGTTAATGACCCTCCCCGAATATGGACAAATGATAACATTTGTGTGTTCTATCCAGAAAATATAAGTATTGAAAAATAAATATTTAAGTCACCAAATGAATTAACCATGGCAGCAATGACTTAAGAGAGACAGGGGCATATTTTTTAAATGAAGTATTCTACATTATGTTCCTTGAAAAGGACACTCTTGGGCTGAGTTTGAGATTTGTCTCCAGCCATTGCTATGTGAGTAGCTCTGTAGGGTTGGAGCGTAGAACTCATGTGTGTTGCCATGAATGTTTTGATGTATATACGTGGCTCACTTGAACCCTATCAAATATAGCTGAACAAAAGCAGCCATGGTGAACACAGAATTGATATGTGGTGTTGCACTGGTCAGTCTATACCTAGAATCTTAATGAGTCCCAGTGAGTTACATATCATTTCAGCCGATGATTGCCTACATTGGTGAAGATCTTGGCAAGGTCTGTTCATGGTTAGAGCGCATTAGTCTGTAGCTGTTGAGTCTTTACAGGTAGCTAGAGAGTTAATTGGTAAGCGAGGCTGGATAATAAGACCTGAAGTAGCCAGAATCCGGATCAATAGGACTGCTGGGGTGAGTCACAGGTGGTGAATTGCATCTGGGACACTGAAGCCCAAGAGAAAAATAGTTCTAACTTTTCCCCACTCCAGAATGAATGCTATAGATAGAGTCAGGGTTTCCTAAGAGTCTTGTCTGAGTTTGTTTTTCACAGGTTTTGATTATTTTGCAGTCAGGAAATCAATAAGAGAGTGTACAATCAAACACTCAGTCGGACATGTTAAAGAGGTATGTTTTTATTGTGAGTAATGGAAAAGTATAAAGAATCAATGGATAATTATGAATAAGTAACGAAGGGGCATATTGTCATATATTTATAACAAAAAAGAGCTCTATGAAGAGTATTAATGCTAATGAATAGTGATAATTGACCAAGGGACAAGTAAGAAGAGATCTTTCTTGTGGGTAATAGTAATGACAGAATCTAGGCAATGGCTGGTATTCTCGCTTTGGGTTAGTAAATGTTCAACGTTGTCTGGTTTTTCTTAGACTATGAAATATACATTAAGCAAAATCAGATACAGCCAAGTGACCAAACAGTGACTCAAAGGTACCAGGGTCAATGGAAGCAATGTCTCAATTTTTATCAGGGTCCACTTCAGTATGCAGTCAGGTTGAGGCCACACTGGGCTACATAAGTCCTTGCCATTAAGAAAATTCGATTACTCAGTACAAACAGTAAGTAAGGAAAGGTGGGGAAAAGGGTGTGTCTGTGCCCATTCCTAGTACACAGTGCAGCAGTATCAGACAGGTGAGTCTGATTTAATCTAACCCTCCCTCTGCAAAGCCCATGGAAACACCACAGGGTTTTTTTTTTGAAAACTGTTTTTATAATTAATAGATATTTGTTGTATTGTCATGAGAGATTAATTAACAAACTAGATGAGAATAGTGTAGTCAGCCCAGCATTGCTGATAGTGGCCTATGAATCCCACAGTGGGTCTATTTGAAGCTGTCAGGTCCGGTAAAGTCACAATAAAATGTATCATTTGTGTTTGAAGGGCCCTTAGGCATGGATGCTAGGAGCGCAAAGGGACCTTTTCCTTAGATTGTTTTTAAGCAGATTTATTCTTGTACTGTACACAGATAAATGTGACTGCGTGAGTAGATGTAAAGATACAGATTAACAAGTATAAAACCTGTAAACTAGGTGTCAAAACCGAAAAAGCATTAAAATATATTATTTCAATTTCTATATGCATAAGTAACTTGATGAATGAACATGGACTGTCTTAATCTCCTTTCTGTCTGTTTTGCTTTTGATGCCCTAGGCTAAAATGTGAACTGGCTTCTGTGTTCTACAGGACTGGTCCTCATCGTTGCCTCTTTGGGTAGGTGCATTCTGTCCAATGTAACAGAGTTATTTACTTGTTTGTTTGTTTTTAAGTATACTCATGGTAGCATTTAAAATAAGTATGACTATGTTTTTTCAAAGACAAACATGGTCCAAGGGATGAATAGTAGTTGTATGAAGTACCTTGATTCATTGATATTGGCAACTCTGTGGATAATTGATGCTGACGGGCTTATTCAATTAGAGATTAATTCCAAAGACAAATGGCAGGGACATGGATGTCCTTGAGCTTTTGTGATTAATTCATATATTATTAGTAAATCAATGAGCCAACCAATAAACAACTTCAGATGAGAACAAAGATGGGCTCAGACTAAGCCCAGTGGTGGTCATTCAGTGGCATAGGGCTCCTCCATTGTCTGTGCCACTGGGAGACTGAGGCCCAGACACTAACTTGTCTTGTTAAGGATTCTATGGAGGAGGGTTAGGGATAGACAATGATCTTATTTGTTATGTATATTTGTCTAGGAGGGGTGTGGCAGTTTGTCTGACAGCATATACCTGTGGAGGCCAGGGATAAACTTCTGAGAATCAGTCTCTCCTTCTACCATGTGGGTCACAGAGATTGGTCATCTGACTCGGGCAGGATCTTCTGCCCATTGAATCATCTCACTGGTCCAGGACCTTTTTTTAATTTTTGTCATTACATACTTCCTTTTATTGATAAAAGTATCCTGTAGACCAGTAAACTTGAATATAAGTAAATAAAGCCTCGCCCTACTATGAATATATGCAAGGAGGCATGAAACATTAATGTCAACTGTGTATTAAAGCATGTTAAGAAGAAGCATGGATCAAAGGCCCAACTTCTTTATTAAGGATCATATCGGCAGTGTATTGAATAACAGTCCTTAATATTATGATCATGTGTCCGTACAATGCAAATATGGTCACACAAATATGGTCATTTTGAAACAGGTATTTATGGCACAATAGTTTTCATAAATCCATGAATGAGTGACTTAGTGAGGAGGATGGGAGAGGACTACAGGAGGGTAGTCTTTCTAACCTTCTTTGTCTTTTCTCCGAGGAACCACGCATTGCTGCTAGCGAGGGACCCTGCCACGCGGCTTGCTTCATGGGTGGAGTGCGAATTGAATGGTGAGTACCTTGTGAGTTTTTCTTAAAGCATTTATGACATTATTAAAAGTAGAAAGACGTCTCTACAAGGCCAGCCCTGGGAAATGATAAAGAAGGAATTAGCATGAAATATTACACTTATAAATTCAATGATGATAATTAGAGAACATGAGATGAGGATTGCTGAGAATCCTAAAGGCACGAAGAATATCGCTCTTAAGTTTCACGAATCTTAGTTTTTTAAATTAGGACTATTGAATTAAATTACTTGTTTAATAAACACATGTAAATTAGTGTGAATAAAGAGGTCCCAAACAAGGCCAATGATGGTAATATAGGTTTAATGAGGTGCAGTGATGTGTGTTTTAAGTCTGTCATGCTGAGGTCTGGTTACACAATCGATACAGTTTATTATCTCTGTTAGTGACTTTAGAGATAGGTATTAGGGAAGTTGAGAGAGTAATATTCTTAGACCTGACCCAAAAAAATTACCACTGTAAAATTATATGCACATGCATTACATTACTATACATTAAACAGAAAGTTTTAATAGGAAATATGTACAATCCATGTGTCTTATTTCTTTAAAGATGGTAGACACAAGAAATAATGAAACTTCAATTGTGCCGACTTTCTTTAGATAGAACCAGCAAATGTTTTCATATATCACTAGAAATGGCAGGCCCGGGCAAGTGGAGGGCAGATTGATATTGCTGTGGCATCTGACTGGGATTTTGTTTGCTTTTCTTTGTATACCCCAGAACAAATAGGCTTAAGTATTCTCTAGTGTTCTGGAATTCTAGGCTCTTCCCTGTGTGTGGGAGCATGTAGTGCATGCTGAGTAATAGAAGTTCTGGTCTAGGTGTAGGAGGTTTGCTTTAAGACATTTATTGTACCATGTAAGAAAGCATTAAATGTATTCAAGGCATGTTAACAATGCCCTAGTAAAAAATGTGGTGTTGGCATCAAACATCATATTGATTAATATATGTAGCATATCTTAAGACAACAAATGATTGTCCATATAAATGATAAGCACATTTAAGGGCCTTGCTTTTGACTTTTTATCCATAGCTCCAACTTTATTGTTAATGAGTTAAATAACAATCACATGTAGATGACGATGAAGAAAAGAATCATGGCCCAGAACCATTGTTGAATTGGTCACATGTGAGTCAAAAAAGATGAATAATTCATGTTTGGGCCTGACAGTTTTCAAGAAAATACAAGGACTCTTTTCTCACCTTAGTGCCCATGAATAAAAAATACTTTTTAAATAGAATAACATTACAAATTTTTCTTTTGAAAATTTCATACATGTATATAATGCATCTATGTCTTACCGCCCACTCCCTCCCTCCAGTTCAATCTATGCCCCCTAAACACATCTTCTTCCAACACCATGCCTTTCCTTTTTTAAAAACAAAGTCTTTTAAAGTATAACTCATCAAATCTAATCAGTATTTACTCATTTATGCCTTAGATCAGGGTATCCACTGGGTTGTGGACAGCATGCCAGTGACTGTT